TTCTTTTGAGGTTTGAGATATATCTAACATCAGTAAGGGTTTTAGTTAATCCATTATAGAGATTTAACTTAACAGAGCCTGTTCCTTTAATATGACAAACTGCATTGTTCCCCATCATCACTTTCCTACCATCTAAAGGTTAAAAGGAGCTGAACCACTTCTTATTAGGTGTCAAATGATAGGTGCAATCAGTGTCTAAGATCCATTCATCACTAATCTTACCTTCTAAAATAACAAGGACCTCTGAACTCTCATAACCCTCTGATACTACCCCTGCACTACCTCCATCACCCTCCTTCTTATATTTCTTTTTCTTCCTCTCAGGGCAATCTCTCCTAAGGTGACCCTCCTTATGGCAGAAAAAACACTTCCATTTTCCAGTTTTGGATTTTGACCTATGTCTATTTTGCCTCCCTTTTTTCCAGTTTTTCTTCTCATATCTTCCTATGACTACAAGACCCTCACCATCACTCACATTTTTTTCTCTAATCCTATTTTCAGTGTCCTTAACTGAGATAGCCTCTACAACTTCTTCTAACTTTAGAGTTTGTCTACCATATTTCAGGGTTTCTGCAAAATTGAATAGGTTTTGGGTAAAGAGATTAATAGGATCATAGCTTGATCCTCATCAGCAATCTCAACTGAGATGCTTTCTAAATCTTGTATAATCTTAAGGAAGTCATCCTTATTATCTTTTAGTGATTTTTGTTCATCCATCTTAACCCCAAATAGACTCTGTTTTAGAAATAATCTATTAGGAACAGTCTTTGACTGGTAAAGAGAATCTAACCTACTCCATATCTAAGGAGTAGTCTTTTCTTTCTTCACTTTTCGAAATACTTTATCACCCAAGCCGAGAATCAGTGAGCTCTTGGCCTTGTTTAGCATGTCTTGCTTTTCTGTAGCAGTCAGGGTGTCAGGTAACTCAGCTTCCCCCTTCAGAGCTAAGGCCAAACCCTCCTTAATCAACATTGCTTCCATCTTCATTTTTCATAATCCAAAATCGTTTACACTTGTAAACTTTTCAAGCTCAAACTTTGTTGACATGTCTTTCACAGATTCGAAAAACATAGTAATAGAAAAGTGAACAGCTAAGAAAGCCCAAAAAACTAAATTGAAACACAAGCAAACCAATGAAACCCTAACTGAACCTTTAACCAAGCTCTTATACCAATTTATTGGAATTCTAGGGTTTCTTGACTAACTCTCAATAAACAAATAAATTAATCAGTTTAGAGAATCAATCAATAGAGCTATGAGCAAATAAAGAGAATTAGCAAAAGAACACAAGACACAACAATTATAGTGGTTCGGCTTTGCGGCCTCTATCCACTTTTCAAGGCTCACAATTAGGTCTTCTCATTAATAAACAAAGTGTACAAGATGATGAACAAATTAGAGAAGAAAAACTTTACAAGAGGGAAAGAACACACCCAATCCAAAAACCTTAGGTTTTCCCAATATGAGATCTGCTCTTTTCTTTAGCATCAATTGATGTTAAATACACATGCACCCTTCCTTGATCAGCCTTCACCTGTCTTCGATTTCTCCATAACCGTAAGATGAATAGCAATCTGGAAGATTCTTTTGGGGTCGTGAACTGTCGAGGTAAAGAGAGAGAAAAGAGAAAGCTGAGCATGAGAATTTTGATAGCCGAAACACAATATTCATATGGGTTTATCCAAAACGACATCGCACTACTTATTTGACTCCTAACACCAAAGTTGACTTCCACCGTGGCAAATAAGAAGCCACATCATCACATATGTTAACAAATATCAATAGAAATTGTTTTTACTTTTGAGTGCAATAGAAATTTTAAACTTTTAATTGCTGTAAATATTATTTTTTACATCAATGCCATGTTTGATATCTAACATAAGCTTATACAGAGAAGATGGAAATTAATTTATATTAAATTTGGCCAGCCCAAGCTGATGTGTTAATGCAAATTGGCAGCCCATAATCTATTGGTCACCATGAATGGTATATTCTTAATGGTATACAATTTCAATAATAAAGTAAAGAAAATCATATTAATTAGGAAAGAAAATAATTCATATATTCTCATTCCATATACAGATAATATGTGAATTAATGTCACATATTTTCTTCCCATATTTGCATGTTAACAAATATCAATAGAAATTGTTTTTACTTTTGAGTGCAATAGAAACTTTACATCAATGCCACGTTTGATATCTAACATTGTTATGCCTAAAAAATCAAGGCTAATGAAAGTTTACATCAGCTAGCTCCAATCAGAGTTCAGGAAGGTTTTGCGCCGTCCAGGAGCTATCACGTCACCCCAAGACAAAAAGAATACGGTTATCACCAACTTGGCATATTCAGATTTTGTCTATGAGTGAATGGAAGCCGCACACTTGTCCAAGCCCTAGGTAATTTGAGGATATATCCTAAGTTATCAGCCAATTGGAGGAAAGGAAGGACTTGCACGGCATCTACCTACTTGCAGATTTGTAATCATTACCCTGAATTCCTCTACTATAAATAGAGGAATCCCCCTCTCATTTTCGGGATTCTAATACAAAAAACTCACACTTTGATTGTAATTTATATTCTCAAAGTAAAGATAATCTAAGAGAAAGAGACTAACTTGATATTTTATCTGAATAATCAGTTATTGTACCTCTGCTCGTTGTTCGTAATACGTAGGACTTGTGTTAAACATCCAAACTAGAGGTGGGAATTTGGGACTGGGTCCAAAAACCCAGCTCCAAAACCCGGTCCTTGAGGAGGTCTGGTCCCAAAACGGGACCAGGCCTAAGGAGGAGGGCCCGGTCCCTCCACTGGGTGAAGATTAATTTTGAAATAAACATAAATTGTAGGGTTTAAAATTAAATTTTACAAAATTTATTAAAAAAAAAAAAATTTATCTGTCGAACAGCTTGTATGCACACACACAGGTTCACGCAGGATCAAGTGATCAACAAAGCATTTATCTCTTTGTTCTTTTTTTTCTTTCGGTGTTATTAAAATTCATTTCAATTTATTTTATGGGTTTGATTTTTTAAAATTAATTGTTGGTGAAGATTAGTATTGTTACAAAATCTCAAACAATTAATGTAATCCGATTGACTTCAATAAAATCAAAGTTGATGGTTGCGCGATTATAAATAATCAACAAGAAATAATTAAGAATAATAATGAAAGAAGAATTTTATTAATGTATTTATGATCACACGGTAGGGCTCTAAGAATGAAAATGTCATCATGGTGACAACACTACACTTGTACATTTATACCCATTTATGAAACCTGATAGATTTCATGGGTATTCATTATTCAATAAGTGATAGATTTCCAAACGTTATTTGCATATTTTATGTATTATATCATGCATATTAAGTCACAAGTAATTATATCGTCATCTTAGTGACATCAGAAGGCTTGTACTTGAATACCCAATGTTTTTCAATGGTGGAACCAACATGAAAGTCGATTCCTCATTGTAGCCCAAATGGCACGTGACATTTTATCTGTGTCGGTTTCTACAATTGCATCCGAGTCAACAATTTCAACGAGTAGTTGGATTGTTGAAGACAGAAGATGTTCTTTAACCAATGAGATGATTGAAGTGATAACGTATTTACGGGATTAGACTCATGCAGAAAAAAGACTACAACAGCACCCTGAAGATCCTGAACTACTCGAACTCTTTAGGAATACAGATTTGAATGATGTAAATATTGTTGATGATGAAGATGAATAATTTAATAAAAAAATAATTTAATTGTTTATTTGTGAAGCGTGAATGTGTGAAATGTGAATATTACATTTATGTTAAAAATTAAAATTAACTATTAATTTATTTATTATTTTTTTAAATTAATTAAATTTTTAGAAACTTACTAATCTACCCCTAAAAAATACTAAAAACCCCTTACAAAATTTCATTTCGCTCCTAAAATATAAAAAAAGATCAGGGGAGAAAAATTTTACAGGCCCATAGGACCGGTCCTGGGCCCATAGGACTAGTCCTAAGGACCAGTCCGAGTCCTAATATTGCTCATGGGCCTGGGACCCATGAGCGATTGGTCCCATTTAGGACCAGTCCTAAACAGGACCAGGCCCGGGCCTACTTGGGACTGGTCCTTGACCAGCTCTAATCCGAACCACTTTAAAAATCGTCTTTTATTTATTATTTAGTCTTTGTATTAGATTATCTGTAATCATTCACGTATAACTTCTAAGAATAACTTAGCACTTTGCACGTACGAGTCGTTGGTGTCAAAATCAAACATCAACAAACATAAGCTTATACAGAAAAGATAGAAATTAACTTATATTAAATTTGGCCTAAATTGGCAGACCATAATCTATGTGCCAGATGAATTGTATATTCTTAATATGTACAAAAACAAGATTAATTTTACTGGCAATGCAATTATGGAATGTTGCTTCAACATGCAACATGAACAAAAATTGGAAACTTAATTAATGAGATGCATTATCCAAGTGCTAGGTTCAACAGAAATTAGTGCTACATAAACGCCGAGCCTACTTGGGACTGGTCCTTGACCAGCTCTAATCCGAACCACTTTAAAAAACGTCTTTCATTTATTATTCAGTCTTTGTATTAGATTATCTACAATCATTCGCGTATAACTTCTAAGAATAGCTTAACACTTTGCACGTCCAAGTCGTTGGTGTCAAAATCAAACATCAACAAACATAAGCTTATACAGAGAAGATAGAAATTAATTTATATTGAATTTGGCCAGCCCAAGCTGACGTGTAAATATAAATTGGCAGACCATAATCTATGTGCCAGATGAATGGTATATTCTTAATATGTACAAAAACAAGATTAATTTTTCTGGCAATGTAATTATGGAATGTTGCTTCAAAATGCAACATGAACGAAAATTGGAAACTTAATTAATGAGATGCATTATCCAAGTGCTAGGTTCAACAGAAATCAGTGCTACATAAACGCACAAAATTGCAAATATTTTATCCAAGTGACAGTGATGAAAATGAGGCTCCAATGGAACAAGTTAATGCTTGTGACAGCTGTAGTGTTAGTTCTACTGCCCTGCGGTTTTGGTGAGTTGCTCTTCTATATTGAGATTCAAATTATGTATAATGCATTTATTTAAGAAGTGACACTGACATAAAGGTGTGTTGAATATATATTGCAGGCCAGGGTGGTGTCGGCGTCAATTATGGGTTGAATGGAGATAATCTTCCATCTCCAGGAGAAGTTGTTGGCATGTATCAGAGGTGTAAAATTCCATACATGAGGATCTTTGATCCGAACCATGACGTGCTCGAAGCTCTAAGAGGAACAGAGATCATACTCAGCCTTGGTACCAGAAATGAAGATATAGAAAACCTTGCTGCAAGTCAAGAAGCAGCCACTGCCTGGGTTGGTGCTAATGTGCAGCCTTATGCAAATGATGTGAAAATCGGATGGATCACAGTCGGTAACGAGGTGGTTCCAGGACCGTCTGCCGCTCATATTAGTCAAGCCATGACTAATGTTCATAATGCTCTTGCTTCCGTTGGCTTGTCTAATATTTTTGTGACAACTGTTGTTTCAATGGCTGCATTATCAGTCTCATATCCACCCTCAGCAGGAGCTTTCTCAAACGATGCAGTGGATTCCATGAACAGCATTGCGCAATATTTTGCAAATGTTGGTTCAGGAAGCCTTATGGTCAATGTGTATCCTTACTTCGCCTATGCGTCTGACCCGGATCATATATCGTTAGACTATGCCACGTTCAAGGCAACGGATCCAGTGGTCGATGGAGAGTTGAATTATTTCAACTTATTTGATGCAATGGTAGATTCTTTTTATGCTGCAATGGAGAAAATCAACGCGGGGAACATTTCTCTTATTGTATCAGAGACTGGTTGGCCTTCGGCTGGAAACGACCCTAAAACAAGTATAGAAAACGCAAAGACGTATAACCAGAATCTCGTTACTCATATAAAGGGGAATGGAACGCCCAGGAGGCCAGGCCAATTGTTGACAGTATTTTGGTTCGCAATGTTTAATGAAAATCAGAAGCCAGTAGGAGTAGAGCAGAACTTCGGATTATTTAATGCAGACATGCAGCCTGTGTATCCAGTTTTGAATTGTTAGCCATTAAAATGATTGTTTGAGACAGATAAATAAAAGATTGTTTACAAAATAAATAGTTTTGTTTCTGAAATAGATGAGATATTGAGAATAAATTTGCTTGAAGAATCCATAATTCCAAATCTGACCGATCAGATAATTGTTTGAAGAAGGAAGTTGCTAAAATTGCTTTCGAGGAAAAAGCCTTTTTATAGCTATAAATGTGTCAAATTTAATTCCCCAAAAATATAAATGTTTCCTATGAAGGACACAAGATTCATTTTGTTAGACCATGAAGTTATTGACATGTTTCCTATGAAAGACACAAGATTCATAAGTTCAATATGACATTAGATTACATGGTTTTTTTTTTTCAAAGTCAAAGAGAACAAGTGTTAGATAACTTTAGTTTTCCACCGCACAGTGGTTGAAGCACCAGCCAACTTGCTTGTAGTTGTGACTTGTGACTGGTGATTCTATTAAAATCTTGGTTAGAGAAGAGGTGATTCATGAGGCTCCTGTGGAACATTTTAATTTGTGGTAGTAACACTAACAACTCAACTGCTGCTGCCCAGCACTTTACTCTCTAATGTTTTATATATCACGTTGAAGTAACCTAAAACTTAATATAGAGTTGTTATAGTCAAATTCAATTCTGTAACAGATGATTCTTAACTTCGCCTTTTTACGAGGTGAAACAAATCATTTATGCTATGAAATTGCCCGCTTTGATAACCTTTTATTACGCAGTTCAAAACAATGAATAATTTGTGCATAAAACTACAAAAATGAAAAGGTTTAGATATAAGCTTTACTTAATAAACTGAATTTTCTTCTATTTCCTTTTTATTCATGTGTAATTAGTGCCATTGAATATGAACATGAACTGCTCTACTAAAAAATGAAAAGGAAACCTCAAAAAAAAAAAAAAAAAAAAATATATATGTAACAAGGAACTAAACTAAAAATGAAACTTCTTTGATTTCCTTTTTCCGTAAAATTGACCAAAAACACCATAAGCTTTTTCTTTCTTTTCTTTCTTGTAGAATCGAACCCCTCTCGAAAAGTAAAAGGAAGAAAAGAACTAAATACCCCAAAAGATGCAACTCTCCAAGCATCTTCCACTGCAGACAAAACAGGCCCTATCCACCCTCTCCAAAACAACCCTGAAACCTAAAAAACTCCCCCTGTTTATGAAGGCAGGATTGGGGCATCTGAAACTATTGCACTATTTGCAAAATGCAGTTCCACCCATGACCCACCGTTCTTTCTACCCAACTCATCAGCTTTTCTTCAAACAAAAGAGAAATAAAAATAGGAAAAAGAAGAAACTACCCATCTGCCATAAAAAATTGGAACTTCTTGGATCTATTACGTAAGAAAACTAGTTAATCAGGCCTCAGTTCCAGAGTCAGATGAGCTCAATTCAGAAGAAGCACCACCAACACCGGTCGCATGAAAGTCAGGCAGCTTCAACTGTCCACCTCTTTTCTTGTACTGCAAAAAAGAAAAGAAAAATAGAATAAAAAAACTGAAATTGCATTTACAGCAAAGTCCAACAGTGTCCATAACTTGTTAACTAACTAATCAAACTAGCTTGATACATAGATCTAAAAAAAAAATCTAATTAAACCCCAGCCTAAAAAATTAAAAGATAGCATATTTCCACAATTCAGTTCTCACAGACTCAAAAGAATGAGAAACTTGAGATACCAGATTTGAAGCTAATCTAAACCAGAGTGATACGGTCTGGAAAAGCAAGAGTTGCTTACCTCCTGAAGGAAGGCATTGATCTCCTCCTCTGTAAGGCCTTCATCCTCTCCAGAGTTTTCCTCCCACCCAAGTGAACGAAGGAATGCAGCTTCCTCATCTGGATCCACTGTTGGATAGCAGCTCACACTCTTCTCTCCCACTTTCGAAAATCTCTGAGCCTCTTCATGGGCATCACCATTGACAGTCACCTCAACACCATTATCAGTTGCATGACTGACAGGAGCACCAACTACTTCCTTCAGTACTTCTCCAGATTTCTCCACAGTGGGAGATGAGATATCAGAGCCTGAATCTCCAGGGAGAGCAGAACTGTTCACTGAGGTTTTCTTCTTTAGGTGATTAAAGAAATCATGTCTGCTCTGAGTTTGTAACAAGGAGGGTCTCCTTTCCACAGGGAATACTGAAATTGGATTCAAGGTAGAGGCCTTCCGCTCCCCAGAGGAAAGCTTGGGGTTGTTTGGCGTCTTTGAAGGAGCTGACACCACCGATGGAGCAACAGCAAGCTGGTTACTGGCTGCTCGGCTGTTGGCATTACTTGTGGGACTAGCAACATCCTTTGGAGGATTGGAGACACCATTTTCCCATGCAGGTTTGAGAACATAGAGCTTCCCATGAGATGACTTTGACACATCAGACTTCACATTTCCACCAAGAAGAGATTGACTGGCCTGGAGCAATGAAGAAGGCAGCTGCTGCCCATTCTTTGAAGCCATATTCATCTCAACAGCTCTAACAACAGTTTTTGGTTTTGATTTGTCAGAGAAACTATGAACCTGGAAAAAAAAAGAGACAGAGATGATCACCTGGAATTTGAAATAACTTTTAAATTTTGCCAAGGGAAACCAAAAAACAGTACGTAATCAGTCAAACAAATTTCGAGCATTAACAGTCACTAGCTAACCCCAAATGAGCCATGACAATTTAACACTACTATGGACACATAAATTCTTAATGCTCCTTTCTCTCTTCAGGTCACTTCACAAAGTACTGAACAGTTATAGTAAATTTCAAACAAGTATTCACAAGAATTGGAAAAAAAAAAAAAAAAAAAAAAACTGTCTCTTTACAGCAAACCAGCCCAAAAAGATTTACCATTCTGTTCAATGTCCTTCACTTGGACCCTAATGGCACATCTTGAACAAACAAAAATACAAAAATTATGATTACATCAATACACTTATTTCCAAAAAGATAGAGAGAGACAGCTTCCTGACATTGATATCATCAAAGTTTCATATTTTTTTTCACATCATCCATTTGAACAGTTGTCACTTATTTCACACAATCAGAAACAAGCTTTCCATCAGTATCTCAACTCGAAATCTTTCAAAACTTTGCCTCTAAGGAACCCACTATCTTCATTTTCTTATTTCTTTTCAAAAGAACCAAAAAACATATTTTCAAAGTATAAAGCAAGAAAATGGCCCAAATTTCAAACCAAATGACTTTAAAATATGGCCAGGGTAACCAGGAAATAGAGACAGCCTCTTACAAAATTGAATATCATGGTCTCATCATGCCCAAGTTATATAACACTGGCAATTACAGAAGATAGCGATTTGATTTACATATTATGACTTCTTTTTCTCTTCCTTCATTAATTACAGAAAAACATAAGTATAGGAGAAGAAAACTAGTCACACAAACTTACCAAAGAAACCCCCTATGATACATATAACCACCCAGTCCAGGATATAATGAATTAAAGAGCAACAAAGCTCTATCTCTTTATGCATGATTGTACTACAAACCTAATCACACAGCACTTCCTACTAATGAAAGAAGATTATACAAAAGCTCTTTGTCCCATGTAATGACTGAACTTACTTCCTAGTAATAGAAGCAGGCAACTGACATATATTATAAGAGTTTCGTTGACTTTGATAACCCACAACTGACAGGATTTCAAGTGAAAACACACACAACCAACCCAGTCAAAACATGATATTCAGAAAGTACCAAGGTAATATCCAAAAATAAACAAATAAAAAAGGAGAACAGACTTCCATATTTAAAAAGATGAATGTGCATAAAAATATGAAAAATGCAACAAGCCCGAATTGGAACATAATTACTATCAAACCAATCAAAATGAATGACCGCAGCAATCAACTACTTATTCCTACTACAAAAATGAAGAATGTCAGTTAAAGAAAAACATACCATCTCCATTTTCTCAATCATAATCCACTCAATGATTCCAATAAAACAAGATTAACACCAGGACTTGTCAGAAATTCTTAGTATATAAAAATGATTCCAATAAAACAAGATTAACACCAGGACTTGTCAGAAATTCTTAGTATATAATATTTATCTAGAGTAGAGATTTAAGCATGCAAGTCTGGATAATACAGACCTATTCAATGGTATGAAATTCTATTAATAATAAAACTGCAACTTTGTGCATCAAAAGAACAACTCTCCTGAGAATTGAAAAAGATTCTCTTACCAAACCCTTAGGCATTGAGGGTGTCACTGGTATTAGTTGCCTTGACTTCTTAATTTCCAATTCCTCAAGTCTTTGTGTCTTGACAGATAACTAAAAGATAACCAAAATGCCTAATTAGACCCTGCATTTTCATTAATTACATAAAAAGTGGAGTATTTAATTCACTCAGTTACCTGAGGAGAAGTACGAGCCCGCGCTGGAGGTTGTGCCAATGCTTCAGCCATGTTAAGACCAGCCATTGCACTGGGCTGCCCAGACAATGTAGAGGCTACACTAGTTTGAGCCGAAGAAGATCCAGAACTACTGCTTCCAATTATGGAGGGCACCTCTGCCAGAGCAGAGGTCCACCCCTCTCCACCAATTAAAGCTGAACTACCAACAGGCAAACTCTGAACAGCTGAGCTCAAACCAGGAGATGAGACTCTTCCTATATCAGGCACTCCCCTATCTTCAGATCCAAGTGAGGGGAAATCTTTCTCAAATACAGACTTCTTGATGTTACTGCCAGTACTACCTGCAGACAGCACACCATTTCCGTTGATATGACTACTATTACTGCTGCTTTTTGAATCCACCGCAACCCTTTGGGGCAAGATCTCACTCTGTTTCCTTGAAACCATTGAATGAGAGCGCCGCAAGGTATCCTTCTCAATCCGACTGCTTAAGATATTTCCTAAAGGGTCAGAAGAATCACGGTCCCATGGATCCCCATAGCTCAACCTGTCTTTATCTCTCTCACGATCCTTGTCACGATGACTTCTATTAAAACTACTATATGCGTGCTTAGCAGAACCATTACTAGAACTCCTCCGTGAATTCGACGAAGAAGTCCGGTCCAAAAAGGAAGAACGAGGGCTATCAAAATCACCTATGCTCTTAGTATTCCTACTTCTCATTTGATGTACAGATGAAGTTCCATCTAAAGAAAAAAATTAACAAAGCAATTACTATATATTTCCACAATTAAAGAAATATTAAACAATTATATATGCCAAAAGCATCAAGATAAAACATGACTAAAACTAACTGATATAAATATTAATGCAAATAAAAGAAACAATGAACATCCAAAACTTGACTAATATAAAGTACCTGAGTGAGAAGATGATGACACGGAGTGGTGGGCTGAACTGCCACCGCCAGTAACACTTCCAGTACTTCTCAACCATTCTGGAACTAATGTAGGTTCACTTCTTTCCATTAGGAGCACTGAACATCATCAAATATAACAAGAGATGCACTTCGCTCACCTTCTTCACCACCCCTTCCCAACAGAATATTATCCTTCTCTAGAAAGTTACTACCTTCTAACCCTAATTCTATCCTTCTTTTCTCCTAAAATACCGACTTTGTTTCACAACCACCAACAATTGACCAAGCAACCAATGAAGTCAGTCACCAGTTAACCACAAAACGCTCTAAATTCACTTGCAGGTACAATATAAGTCAACGGGATTTTACTCAATACAAAAAACTAACAGAAGCAAATTCTGACACAAGCCTGTAACCAGAGTACGGAAACAAAGACAATGGCAACAAAAAGTGGCATGACTTGACGGAATTTTACCAAAAGCTATCTCTCTCTAGCCTCTATGCTTTCATCTTCAATCAAAGATGGATTTGCAGACAGAAAAAAGCAACACCACACTCAATAGACCCTCATCTCTTCAAAAACACCAAAGCCTTATGGGAAAACGACAATCAATGAGTAGCAACAATGAAAGAATACCCAATATTCCTTGACGTTAATTCACACCCATAAACCGGCAAAATTAGAAAGAAAAAAAAAAAACCAGAACCAAAAAAAAAAAAAAAAAAAAAAAAAAAAAAAGACAAACCCTAAAACATACACAGTTTATGAGTGTAGGTTATTGTAGGCAGATATATATAAACAAAAAAAACAACAAACGAATTATACGTAAGTTCAGGTCTTAGGGTTTGAACAGCGAAATATTTGCTCAACAAAATACAGGGAAAGTTGTAGAGAGAGACAGATTTCGAATAGAACTAACCCTAACCTGCTAATGAATGATTGATTGTTGCCTGACTATACCAAAAACGTAACCGTTTAATAACCGCCTAGTATTATATTCGCAATCCAAACAATGCGTTTTCCCAGAAGAGAATAATACAAGTTCCACGGTAATATATATAGTGGGAGATGAAGTTTGAATGTTAAACGGGGTTTGAGTCTTGTTGTGATAAGAAAATTAGGGTTTTGTTCTCGTGCGAAAAAGAGAGACAGAGAGAGGCGTAATTTCTGTTAGTTTCGGATACTGAGAATGAAACGTATGAAGAACATCCTCTTCTTCTAAGAAATCCCTTTTTTTCTTTTTTCTTTTTATTATTATTTTTTATTTTTTATTTTTTCTCTAGTAAGTTTTTAACAATATAGTTTTTAAAAAATAATAATAATAAACAAAATTCTTAAATCTTGGCTTTTATAGGATGTGGGTTTTATTGGGTTTTGGCACAACTTACGTGTGGTGTGATCTAGAATGGCCCTAGGTTGATAGATGATAATTTCTGTCTATAATCATCATTATCTTATTTAAAATTAGTGTTTAAGACGAAGTTATCAATAATTATTTCAATCAACCAAAAAAATAAAATAAAATCTGGTTAAATGACAGTAGAAGGGTAATTGTGTCCATGAACGTCATTATCGCGTTGCGTTTTGAACCCAACCAACTCGACTTATGTGAAACGTGGTTAAGTAACTTCATGGGTGATGTACTTATGCCTATTTTTGTCATTACGAACTGGTCTTCAACTCTTGTATTGCACACAATTTTAGCCCAACCAACTTGGATTTTTTAAACATTTCCAACCATTAGTTTGACATTTGTGTTATTTACTCTTGCAAAAATAATTTTAATATCTCCTTTTTATAACAAAATAAAATAAAACTTAGGCCAAATCATGTTCTGTATTTAAAACTTTCTTTTATTATATAGTTTAATAAATATATAAATTATTATAGTTTTATTGAAAGAATATTTACAGCTACCCTATCATGGACCATATTTCTCATCCTAAAACTCTTTAGTGTGTAACACAAATTTATTAAGAATGTAGCGCCTGTAAAATAAGGGTTAGGTTGTCAATCAATTAAAAGTGCTAGCTTGCACTGCTACCTTACTAATAATATATACCATAATTAAATTTGCACGTATGCTGTTACTTTTATTATATGGGTAAGTGCATGCATTATCAATATATTAGACTAATAACTAATTGCTTTGCTATCACATGATTTGGTGTTTAGCTTTTTGGGTTCATTTTGCTTATTACGTAATATGGTCAAACGAACTTAGCCTGAATTCGTACAAATTTATATATTTTAATGAGAATACAGATTTTATTATTTTGTATATTTATATTTGAAAACAAATCACATTAAATGCCGAATTACAGTTGTCATTTCAGTCTAATATTATTGAAATTGAAATTATACTTAAATTTAGTATCTATTAACTTTATAAAGTTAAACAAAAATACAGAACTTGATTGCTAGGTTGTTTGAATAAATGTTATTTTGAAAAATTATCTGAATATGATAGGATAAGATTAAATCAAACAGGATAGGATTATGAGGATATGTGTTGATATAATCTAAACATTATATACAAGTTGGATAAAAATTATAATAGTTGTTTGGTGTATTTTGGGAAAACATCTTCTGAAAGTATTTAGATTATTTTAACTCTCTACATTTATTAATTTAGCTAAACACCCTTACAATAAAAATTTATAAATTAATAAAAACACTTTTACCCACCCAAAAATTGCCGACAGTCGACCACCACTGTCAGACGGTAGCCGGAATGATGCACGACCGGCTGGATTTGGCTAGTCGTACACTGATGTGGCCTTTTCAAGCCATATCTATGATGGATCTGGTCAGAAACGGCTAGATCGGCACACGATCAACCAAATCCGGTTGATTGTGCATCGTTCCGGCACCGGTAGTGGTTACTAATGGCTAGCAATGGCTTAGGTGGGTGAGAGTGTTTTTGTTAATTTATAAACTTTTATTATGAAATGTAATAATTTTTAGTTAAATAGAGTTTGAAAAATGTTATAATAGAATAATAGAAAACAAGTCTCACCCATTTTTTATTTTCAATAAAAAAAAAAAATTATTTGATTCAAATTGATTTTCAAAACAATGATCCAAAAAAGTGAATAAACACATATTCTGTATTTTAATCTAAATACAAATAATTGAAAAGAGTAAAACAAGCAGGGGGATAAATTTTCTAAAAGATTTTCCTATCATAGACCAATGAGTAATTTTTTATTATTATTATTATTATATGATAGAGAGAGAGAGAGAGAGAGTAAAGTCTCTCCCTGATCATAACAATGAACCAAATTAATTTATTACTATGAAGATGTTATAACTTAATAGATGTGTAATTATAAAGTTATTATTTTGACTTAGTTATCCTTATTATAAGTGGTATAGAGGTAAAGGACACACTATATTAATAATTAATTAATTGAGCATATCAAATCCAAAATATAGACATTGATAAAAGAAATAGACATTGTTTAAATACACTAATACATGTATCCGTGAGCAACACTATTTTACACTAATCGAATGGATATTAATATCTTCCTCAATCGTCTAAACGAGCAAGAAGTCGTGTATGTTTTAACTAAATAAGAAACCATTGTTGCAATTAGACAAGACGATGAAAGAGATAATCCTGAATATGATAATACGGAAATAAAAAAATGTTTCATGTAAAAAAGCTCTAAATATGCTTGAGAATCTAGAAATATTTTAACTTCAACAAGAAGGTGTCCATGTTGGCGAGTTATTACGTATCTGCAAGTTCAAAGATATGATAACAACTATAAAACATAAATTATTGTCCAAAATAACTTTAGATAAATATTTTATTTCATCTTAAACCTTTAATGTAATATAACATATTAATTTTTTGCAATATACAAATAATTATTACTATATGAAGGCAATTTTCTTAAGACGAGAATTGAAAAAATTATAATTTATTACAATGTAAAGTTTATTCTTATTTATAAGAATCCCAAGTTGAGACTATAATTTTGTATGAATATATAGAGATTATTGTTATATAAGGTATCACTGTAAAGAGGTTTTACCTCTCTCTCTCTCTCTCTCTCTCTCTCTCTCGCTTTATTATATATATATATATATATATATATATATATTATATTAATATATATATATATATATATATTATAATATATTATATATTATATTATATGTATATTTATGCTGGGGGTGTCCTAGCTGCTTGGCGCACCTCAACTAATCTCCATAAACCTTGGAACTACCGTTCAGGTAAGAGTTCTAATGACTATCCCTATTAAGCCGAGGAAGGACTCAAACTCAAAACATCTTAAGTAATAAACTAAAAATATATATCGAACTATTAAGTCACCCAGAGGTAGTGTAATGTTTTCTTTCTAGCTAGAATACTTGTAAAATAACAGTAAAACTCACTAAATATATATGAGAAAATATACATGTAGATGAGTTTAAAATAGTGGGCCCAATTTTTTTTGTTTTTTTGTTTTTAAACAAAACTTCACATCATGTAACAAAACTTCTTGAAATAGTCTCGACAGTGTTGCCCGCTCCTTCCGCTTCTTGACACTCCTTCCTACCGCCTCTCATCTACTATCTGCAAAAACATTGAAAACAATGGGGTGAGCACTAATTGCTCAGTAAGTAAACTCACTAGGCTACTCCTTTGTCTCCATTGTTCAACTTTTGAATTTCTTTCCTTACAACGCATTTCTTTCTTTTTCTCTGTTATTTCTCTAGTCTTTTTCTTTCTCTCTGTTCTTTCTATATTCTTTCTCTCTGTTCTTTCTATATTCTTTCTCTCTGTTCTTTCTATATTCTTGTTTCTCACTTACGAACAAGTAAGCAGAACTGGAGAAACTAATTCTGAATAATATGAATGCCATTATGCATATGCATGAATGCATAAAGAATGCAATTTCTTTTCTGTTTTCTGTTTCTCTTCTTTCTTTCTGTTATGTTATTTCTTTCTTTCTGCTCTGTTCTTTCTTTATGTTTTGTTCTGTTTTTTTTTTTTTTTTTCTGTTCTATTCTTTCTTTCTATGCCAATCGGACTCAGTTAAGGCATGGATTCAGAACCCTGGCCATGTGAGTGAGTACAGTCATCATCTACATGCACTTCTATCGAACTGTACAACTCTTCTTTCTGATTATAAGGCCGCTCACTAAAGGCGGTGTGCATGTAGGTAAATTCTGTTGGTACAGTTCTCATCCACATACACTTCTAACGAACTGTATACTTACTTCTTTCTGATTCTGAAGCCGCTCACTAAAGGCGGTGTGTATGTAGGACTATTCTTATTTGTCACTCACGGGTCCCCCATTGCAACAACCTTCACTTCTCTTTTCTTTTTACATTTCTTTAAGTAAAATTTTAGATTTGAATTATTCTTTAAGTATATTTCTTTAGATAATACTTCTACCTTTAATTCTTTTCTTTCTTTTTCTTTATTCTTTACTATTCTCATCCATATGTATGTGCATGGAACTATGCTCATTCTTTACTATTTTTTCTAAATGCAAATGTGAGAATGCATTATGGCATATAAAAATATCATTAGAGAACTAGTATTATTTACCAACAACATTCCCATACTTGAAATCAATTATTGATTATTAGACTAAAAATATTTTGAGGTAGTCATTCTACATAGGTCATATTTAAGAAGACATATCTCAAGTTATACACATTGGATTGCTACGATCTTGATCTTGTTTTAAAGCTTAGAGACAGGGCTACAACTTTTATGCTTAGATCTTAGCCCAATTCAATCGGTAAAATGCCCAAAAATCACTCAAAAGGTCACGGCCGTGATGGGGCAACCATGGTAACATGTTTTCTCTTAGAATTTTCATCAAACAAATTGCATGCATACTCAAACTCTACTTTGGCTACACTTCTACTTCTTTCTCAAGTCACCAATATTTGTAGCAAAACTTCTTTAAATCAACACTAAACCTAGCCAGGAAAATACATTCCATAAAGTCTACTCAAACTCTTTCTAAATTCAACTAAACTTTCATCAACCACCATATAGGCAAAGTCTACATTCTCATGGCTGAATTTTAATTATCATCAAGTATCAATCTCATCAAAACTTCTAAAAAACATAAGCACATACATACATGTATAAATCCCTACAAACTTACTCAAATCAAACTTAGGGTTGGATTTACTTATCTTGATCTTGGGTAGTTCCACACTAGAAACTCTCTCTTTGGGTAGATCTCCTCTTCTTCTTAAACCCTAAGCATATAACTATAAGAATTCAATACTTTAAAAATTAATCTCACATCATATTGCAAGAACTTTTACCTTTGGATGCTTAAGATTGAATATCTACCAAAATCCAACCAAAAATCCTCTAAATTGCCTTGGAAATTTGATGAAGAAAATGAGAGAATTTGGAGAGGAAAGTGGCATGTGAGGGAGTAGAAAATGATAGGGTTTTCAAGAATGAAACCAAGATATCTTATTTATTACTTCTACTTTCCCATTTTGCCCTTGCACTTTCTATGAAATTCCATCGATGTCACTTAGTCAATTACAATAATGTCTACATTTTTATTAACTTCTTCATGAAATTTTATCTCTTTTTACTCCTCACTTTTTCAACTAATTATGAGTAAAAAGACAATTTTACTCCTAATAAAATTTTAAGGTATTTCTTCACATTTTCTCAAAATAACTTTAACAAAAAAATCAATTAAGGGTATAAGGGCATAAATCAAGTTACATACCTCAATGTGAGTATTACAGATAATTTAAATTCCATATATATTCCTTTTAACTTATTGATTCCAATTGTTAAATTAATGTGACAAAATCAAAATTCCTTTACTCTCCATTAGTGTAACTTTGATCGATAATATATAACACAGGCTTGTATCCGGTGAGTCAATGAGTATGGTCAAACATGGATTTTTCTCTATAAAAGTTAAACATATAAAATATCATATCTTGCATTCCAAGGAAACTGACTCTTCTTTTGGTCATCCACACATCTCCAATTCAAAACCCCCGACAATATCTTGACCATACTACTCTCTAGAATTCTTTTGTCCCGCGTTATTATTTTCAATATTTTCCTTTTAATATATCAAACTATAAGTTTATTAATTACCAACTAACTAATAAAAAATTAATTAAAAACGTTCTTATTTATCCTTTCTAATGTGTATATCAAATAAATTATTTTAAGTAATATTTAAATAAATAATTAACTTTTTATGAAAGTAGGTGTGCTTTTAAAAATAGAAAAAAACATTTTACACAAAAGTTATTTCGATGCTTTTACTAATTACTGAATTCTCTTGATAAAGGTCTAATAATTATAGAATAATCATGACTTATTATTGTGAGAACCCTTTCACTTGTCCATAAAACGGTGGATTTGCAATTTCGATTTGATTATAACTAAAAAATAAAAAATAAAAACGTTTTCAGTGACGAATGAATTAGTCATGCTAACATGTATATACTATATATGTATAGCATGCTTTGACTTTAGCAGAAGAAACATGGAAATTGTTTAAGGTTGACTTTTGTTTAAATTCATCCTAATATAATTTTCAATATATAATTACGGAAGAGTTTAAATTACACTGACTTTTTTCGCTAATTGAAGTCGTATGTATTTCGTTTAAAAGTTCATATACATCTACAATGACCATTAAATTTATATGGACTTGAACTCAATAGTTTACTATGTACAAATTATTCATAAAATAGCGGTATTTGGCTTGAAATACTATAATAAAGTCTAAAATTTAATCAAAATATAAGATATTAATGGTATGATAAATACCATACTCAACTTGCGGTGTACTTTTATAGGTTCATGAAGTGAAAGTGAGACACATTCAATGATGGAAGTTACGGAGACGAGGAGTACATTCACTCGTTCTCATTGTACCACAATCATCATCTTTCACTATTGTGGCTCATAAAATCACCGTCAGATACCATACGTGTGGTGAACCAGCGGCCAATGATCGTATTGTAAATAATTGGTGTGATGTCCGGAGCAAGCAGCGTGAGCGTGTGGTGTACACTAAGAGTATATGTTCCCGTCCTCACACAAACAAAGCGCATCCTTCCAAATTCCACTTCACCAATCCAGTTCACCCCATTTTTACGTTCCACGTGGCACCGCGTTTTCTCTCTATCTCACTCAATTTATTGGCGTTTACTAGTCTTTTCACTCTGCCGATTTCAACCATCACCAGTTTAAGACTTCATCTTTAAAGACAGCTGATTTTTTGTCTTTCAGTTTCTCGAGAAAGTTACGCAGAAAAGAAACTATCCTACCAGCACCTTTGTTATCAGGAGAGCGAACTTGTTAAAGTTCATTTCGTTTTGTTGTCAAGTTTAGATGGGTTTTGCTCTTTATGAATCGCATACCTCGATTTTTCACTCCTAGGGAGAAAACCACGGCCGACAGGGCCATGGACCCAAGGAAGACGAGGCGAAAACCTCGGCTCGAGCGGCGCAATGCGGCCAAGAACTTTGAGTATGACGCCTCGTCAACTTCATCATCGCTCGATGATTCGTCATCTTCACCTTCGCTAATCACGCGATCGCTCGACTTGTCGGATCGGACGAGCTTCCGTATCGAAGGGGTAGATGGAGAGTTCGAGCGGATTTGTCGGAGCTTAGGCTTGTCCGGTCCCGAAGATTTCGCGATCCCAACGGCGGCGTGGGAGTCGAGAAAAATCAGGTCGTCTTCGGATGTTTTACCGAGGTCAAGATTACACCAGTTGGAGAGTCCGAAAGAAACGGAGGAGAGACAGAGTGAAGAGGTTGTGGTCAGTGAGTTGAGTGATAGGGTTTTGGATAGTGTTAGAATTAGGGACGAAGCAGAGTTGACTCGGAACGAGTCGGCTGAGTTAAGAGCTCTGCCAGCTGAATGTCCTTGTGACACTACTGTCGGTGGTGTAATTAAGGAGGACACGGACTTGACTCGGACCGAGTTGGCCGAGTCAAGTCCGCGCTGTATTGGTACTGGTAATAATCATACCGGAGGAATCAAAGGGGTTAGGCCTCCGTTATTGAAACCGCCGCCAGCAATGACGTTACCTGTGATCGATAACGCGTGTTCCACGTGGGACATCTTGAAAGCTTTTGCACCTAAAGATGATACAACGCATCCAGTTTTGGATGATAGTGTTTTTTCTTCATCTGATGAAGAAGGTGAGGAAGAACACGAAAGAAAAGTTGAGAGGGAAATTGTTAAGAGAGATGAGGAGATTGGGTTGTCGGAAAGTTGTTCATTCACGACTTCGAATGATGATGACTCTTCAAGTACTACTACTGAGCCCACAACTATTTCCCCCAATGGGCGGTTTAAAAGGACTATTACGTATTGGGAGAAGGGTGAGCTTCTGGGACGTGGGACGTTTGGATCGGTGTACGAAGGGATTTCTGAGTAAGCGCTGAAATATTGTTTATAATGTTGCTTCAGTTTTTATATTCTGAAAATTTGGCATTTAGACTTGTTAGTTTATCGCTTCTGTTATGTTGTTTAAGTACGTATAGGTTGGTTTGAGAATTCGCCCTTAAATTCTTCATATTTCTGGGAGTTTTCAGAGTTGAGACGTGCTGAATTTTCCCAAGTCGTCATTATACTAGCATTTTATTGAGTTAATGCATTATCTAATGATTTTGTGCATCATGGTTTAAGAGTTGGTTTTCCGTGATGAAGCTTCATTATTGGAAGATTAAATTGGGAATTGAATTAAGGCTTAATTACACCCTCTGTTCCTTTTGTGTGATTGCAGTGTTCTGATGATGTTTATGTATTGATTTTCTTGCAGCGATGGATTCTTTTTTGCTGTTAAGGAAGTTTCATTACTTGACCAAGGAAGCCAGGGTAAGCAAAGCATTTACCAACTTGAGCAGGTGAGGCAGGCTAATCTTTGTGTTGCTATAATAGTTTGATTCTCCATGGTTCGCCGTCATGTAAATGAAGGGATAAATTGTATGTGCGTGGAGAGAATTTTCTAATTCTTGTCATGTGCTTACTTTTTGCAGGAAATAGCTCTTTTAAGTCAGTTCGAGCATGAAAACATTGTTCAGTATTATGGCACAGATAAGGTAGTTGCATTTTTTTATTTTAATTTCATTTTAGATGTTCTTCTACTTTGGACATGATTGAGGTGCTATCAAAGTAAAGAAATATTGTGTCCTTTCTTATGAATATGTATATCATCGAAAAGTTTTTTCCTTGTGACTTATGTATTCAACACTCGATTTTGGTGGAGCACACCATAGATTTTAGAGGGAATAACTAATATTTTTTTTTTTGGGTAATCCTGGCAATTGTATTGAAGAAAGAATAAAAGAATACACCTAAGGAGAAATGTCTCTCCATCAATGTACAAAGCTTCTTGGACATTCCTAAGAGCTCACATAACATAGGCCAATATATACTAGGATTTACAACTCTATACAAGCAATGCCCATTTAAAAAAAAAAAAAAAAAAAAAAAAAAAACACAAAACTAGGCCTTACCAAAAAAGAAGCAAAAGCTATACACGAAGATGACTTCAGTCCCGTCCAGCACCTTCGAAAAACTGCAGTCGGCTCATAGCATGGGGACGTCCCCACAGTGAGCACGACCCAACACCATCACCAGCCTAGGATTACCCAAGGGCGCAAGACAAGAACATGTCTCCAAAACAAACTATTAAGCATTCCCTGATGATCCATTGTTTAAGCATTCAGTAGGCAGTCCCCACTCCTCCATCACTCTCTGAACTCTATTGTTATTCTTGAATCGAAGACTAAACAACCAAAGACGAACTGCTTCAAAAATTTGCTGTTCGATACACCCTTGCTCCTTTCTCTTTCCCTTAAACAGCCGAAAATTCCTTTCTTCCCATATATAATAATCTGTGGCCCCAGAGAGAAGTCTTCCCACAACAGCATAAATATTTTTACCTTTAAAATTCTGCGCACACCAGGAGATTGTCTGCTCCCAGTCAACATTAGGGTGTCTAGAGTGACCCTTTCTTAGGACCAAGCTCCAGATACCTTTAGAAAAAGAGCATCCAAAGAAAAGGTGATTGTGACTATCCAAAGGGCCATTGCAAAGGCCACCTCCCATATTCTCTACATTAGTCCAGGCAGACATTCTATCTTGAGTGATAAGCTTACCTTTGATGGCAAGCCAGAGAATAAATGAATAGCTTGGTATGCCTGTACTTGTCCAAACGAGCGTGTGCCATGGAGCCACGCCACCTTTAGGGGAAATATCCTTCCAAATTTGACCAGTTGATAACCTGACCTGCCTCCCTTCCCTATTCTTCCAAAAAAAACACATCTCCTGTATCTTGAGGGCAGGGGGGCATTTGTGAAGCAATCTGTGGGAATTCAGTATGGAAGGTAGCTGGCCATTCCCATTGCCCTTGTTTGATAATATTGCTCACTGTAGCTTCATGGTTTAACCCCAGGCCATGAAAGTTATGAGTTGGAACTATATCAATTAAGGGGCAACATGGATGCCAGTTGTCATACCATAACGAGATAAGTTGCCCATCCCCAATAGTTACTCCAAAATGGTTCCGAAGACATTCCTATTTAAGGAACACTAGCTTAATCAGAGAGTGAAGAAAGTTGCAGACCTTTTTTTATGCTGGTTTGTCTGTCTCTAGGGGTTAGATTTGCAATCACCAACATTAGGTCATTTGGACATTTTAGAATATAAAACGTGTTTAAAATTATATCAAGTCTATGACTATCTTCCTTGGGTTTTTTTAACTGGAGTTTCTGCTTTTGTAATCATATCCCGTGGGTGTTTGATAGGCCCTATTAAAATTNAAGGACTATTACGTATTGGGAGAAGGGTGAGCTTCTGGGACGTGGGACGTTTGGATCGGTGTACGAAGGGATTTCTGAGTAAGCGCTGAAATATTGTTTATAATGTTGCTTCAGTTTTTATATTCTGAAAATTTGGCATTTAGACTTGTTTGTTTATCGCTTCTGTTATGTTGTTTAAGTACGTATAGGTTGGTTTGAGAATTCGCCCTTAAATTCTTCATATTTCTGGGAGTTTTCAGAGTTGAGACGTGCTGAATTTTCCCAAGTCGTCATTATACTAGCATTTTATTGAGTTAATGCATTATCTCATGATTTTGTGCATCATGGTTTAAGAGTTGGTTTTCCGTGATGAAGCTTCATTATTGGAAGATTAAATTGGGAATTGAATTAAGGCTTAATTACACCCTCTGTTCCTTTTGTGTGATTGCAGTGTTCTGATGATGTTTATGTATTGATTTTCTTGCAGCGATGGATTCTTTTTTGCTGTTAAGGAAGTTTCATTACTTGACCAAGGAAGCCAGGGTAAGCAAAGCATTTACCAACTTGAGCAGGTGAGGCAGGCTAATCTTTGTGTTGCTATAATAGTTTGATTCTCCATGGTTTGCCGTCATGTAAATGAAGGGATAAATTGTATGTGCGTGGAGAGAATTTTCTAATTCTTGTCATGTGCTTACTTTTTGCAGGAAATAGCTCTTTTAAGTCAGTTCGAGCATGAAAACATTGTTCAATATTATGGCACAGATAAGGTAGTTGCATTTTTTTATTTTAATTTCATTTTAGATGTTCTTCTACTTTGGACATGATTGAGGTGCTATCAAAGTAAAGAAATATTGTGTCCTTTCTTATGAATATGTATATCATCGAAAAGTTTTTTCCTTGTGACTTATGTATTCAACACTCGATTTTGGTGGAGCACACCATAGATTTTAGAGGGAATAACTAATATTTTTTTTTTTGGGTAATCCTGGCAATTGTATTGAAGAAAGAATAAAAGAATACACCTAAGGAGAAATGTCTCTCCATCAATGTACAAAGCTTCTTGGACATTCCTAAGAGCTCACATAACATAGGCCAATATATACTAGGATTTACAACTCTATACAAGCAATGCCCATTTAAAAAAAAAAAAAAAAAAAAAAAAAAAACACAAAACTAGGCCTTACCAAAAAAGAAGCAAAAGCTATACACGAAGATGACTTCAGTCCCGTCCAGCACCTTCGAAAAACTGCAGTCGGCTCATAGCATGGGGACGTCCCCACAGTGAGCACGACCCAACACCATCACCAGCCTAGGATTACCCAAGGGCGCAAGACAAGAACATGTCTCCAAAACAAACTATTAAGTATTCCTTGATGATCCATTGTTTAAGCATTCAGTAGGCAGTCCCCACTCCTCCATCACTCTCCTAACTCTATTGTTATTCTTGAGTCGAAGACTAAACAACCAAAGACGAACTGCTTCAAAAATTTGCTGTTCGATACACCCTTGCTCCTTTCTCTTTCCCTTAAACAGCCGAAAATTCCTTTCTTCCCATATATAATAATCTGTGGCCCCAGAGAGAAGTCTTCCCACAACAGCATAAATATTTTTACCTTTAAAATTCTGCGCACACCAGGAGATTGTCTGCTCCCAGTCAACATTAGGGTGTCTAGAGTGACCCTTTCTTAGGACCAAGCTCCAGATACCTTTAGAAAAAGAGCATCCAAAGAAAAGGTGATTGTGACTATCCAAAGGGCCATTGCAAAGGCCACCTCCCATATTCTCTACATTAGTCCAGGCAGACATTCTATCTTGAGTGATAAGCTTACCTTTGATGGCAAGCCAGAGAATAAACGAATAGCTTGGTATGCCTGTACTTGTCCAAACGAGCGTGTGCCATGGAGCCATGCCACCATTAGGGGAAATATCCTTCCAAATTTGACCAGTTGATAACCTGACCTGCCTCCCTTCCCTATTCTTCCAAAAAAAACACATCTCCTGTATCTTGAGGGCAGGGGGGCATTTGTGAAGCAATCTGTGGGAATTCAGTATGGAAGGTAGCTGGCCATTCCCATTGCCCTTCTTTGATAATATTGCTTACTGTAGCTCCATGGTTTAACCCCAGGCCACGAAAGTTACGAGTTGGCACTATATCAATTAAGGGGCAACATGGATGCCAGTTGTCATACCATAACGAGATAAGTTGCCCATCCCCAATAGTTACTCCAAAATGGTTCCGAAGACATTCCTATTTAAGGAACACTAGCTTAATCAGAGAGTGAAGAAAGTTGCAGACCTTTTTTTATGCTGGTTTGTCTGTCTCTAGGGGTTAGATTTGCAGTCACCAACAGTAGGTCATTGGGACATTGCATTATATAAAACGTGTTTAAAATTATATCAAGTCTATGACTATCTTCCTTGGGTTTTTTTAACTGGAGTTTCTGCTTTTGTAATCATATCCCATGGGTGTTTGATAGGCCCTATTAAAATTTTGTACTTAGATACTTAAATTACAACTGTTCTCTTTGATCCCCAAGTGGACAGCTAGTTCACCTTTATGTACATCTTTTGATCTCTTCTATTAATAATTTTTTTTTTTCCGAGAAATTTTTTTATCATTTCAATCTTGGAGTTAAAACTGAATTTGTTAACAAAGTTTTTTAAGAATAGCCCTTTGCATCTATTCTCTATGCCCCTACATTGCAAGATGTGAATGATTTTTGAAAACTAAATCAGTGAGCTCTATGAGATGAGAAGAATAAATCAATCTGGCATCCTGGTGAATTTGCAGTTAATTATGATGTCCAGATAATGAGCTTTCAGGATCAAAAGATTCAAAACATAGGAAAGAAATAGTGAATCATATTTAATTTTACTCTTATCAATATCATTAGTCAATCAAAACTTGGTTTCTACGAGATATTGACTCTTCTTTCCATCTTCAAAAGTACTAGGGTTGTTATAGTATAAAACATTAGATAATGTATTTGATTTAAGTACATGCTCTGCACATTGCCCTACTGTTTTTCATTGGCTTATTGGATAATATGGAGCAGTGGTGTCCTCATGTGTACAACTTCCTCATTATTTTCTTTTTTCCCTGTGATTAATGGGTTTTGCAGGATGAATCAAAACTATATATCTTTCTCGAGCTTGTAACTAAAGGTTCCCTTTTAAAACTCTATTTGAGGTATCATCTTCGAGATTCCCAGGTCTCTGCTTATACAAGACAGATTCTGCAAGGTTTGAAGTATCTCCATGACCGAAATGTGGTTCACAGGTGATAAAAGTAGATCTATAATGTACATAATTTTATTACAATTAATGTGGTTATCATTGTTGCCAAACAAGGGAATATCATGCTAGTGTGCACGCTTCTTGCAAGAATTAGCTTTTCATACTTTTTGGTATTCTTCTGTTGTATGGTGGAAGTAGTCTTTTGGTTTTGTCTTTCTTAAAGCTGTATACAATTGTTACTAGTCGATTTACTGATCAGCAGTGCTTGTCTTTCTTCTTTAACACTATGTTTGCCATACTGAATTTTGTAAAAGAGTTTTTGAATTCTTCCTTAAGACTTGATATCTCTTTGTTGCAATGTTGGGTGCTTGACTTACAATGATCCATGCTTTTTGGCAGTGGCTATATCTAAATTTTACCTTTTTTGATGCTTTCCTTTTTACCTGATAGAAGAGTGATAACAATTGTTCTACAGAAGTTATGCTTCTTCTACCTGTGGACCTATATTGCTAGCTGATCATAAATTAAGCATGCAGATTAGGACCCACATATGCCAGGTTTATAATTACTCTAGTTGTGGAATTTTTTCCATTCATTGGTGGCATTGGCCTGACATTCCCTATAGCTTTTGACCAGGGCTGCTTTTTGTTCTATTCCCTAAGTGTATATATATATATATATATATAAGTCTTGATTAGAATGTAAAAGTGGTTCACTCTTACAATATGTAATGCAAACACCAATCACATGAATACTCACATTTTATCTGCAATTATTCTTTTTTCTTGTGATGCAGGGATGTTAAATGTGCAAATATATTGGTGGATGCAAGTGGATATGTGAAACTTGCTGATTTTGGATTGGCAAAGGTTTTTCTCTTGTAACTTGGAGTTTTAACTTCTTGTTTTTTGTAGCTTCTTAAATGGTTGTAAATTTCTTCTACTAATATTGCTTGTGTTAATTTTCAGGCCACCAAATTGAATGATGTTAAATCTTGCAAGGGAACTGCATTCTGGATGGCCCCTGAGGTTTGCTCTTTTTTATTATTTTTATATTTATTTTTTGCTTTGAAGAATTGTAAATTGTGCTTGTATTTAAAATAACTAGAACTAACGAAATTATATGGCTTTGAAAAATTTAAGGCTAAAACTATTTGTTAGTATGGAAATGTTATTGGTTACATTTGTTATCATCGGCTGGTGCACATTTATGGTACGCTATGTGACCTTGTGCAATTGCATTTTGCCATGTACTATATGATGTTTTTATGGTTTGTTAGGTAGGGGCTTTTAAATTTTGAATGTATTTCTTTTTACAATTATCCAAAGTGCTTCACTTGATTAGTGTTGGTTATTCGTTTTCTTTTCTGTTGTCAAGTAATGTTGAAAATGTATAATTTAAACGTAAAAAATTTCCTGTTTTCCAAAATTTTGGGTGGGCTGATGGAGATGCTGTCTTATTTACAGATACTATATCTCCGCATTGATGACAGTAGCATGAAGCTTTTTGTCTGGCGTATCTGTTATAGCTCTCCACTTCTCAATGATGTGCACATAACTTAATATCATATGGAACTTGAATTCTTAATTTTTATTATCCTTGGGTTACTTTGCAAATATGTCTCTTTTCACTCCTAGTAATATGCTTTGGAGGCTTGATCTTTTCAATAGATCAATAGACATCAATGGTGATGCTATGGTTATAGTACTGCAATTTTTGTTGTAAATATTTTGTAATTTGAGTCTTTATTTGTCTTTCTTTTCTTTTCCTCCATTTTTTCATCTCGGATCTTCTCTGTTTTGTTATCAATTGGTCTAGTGTATCTCTGGAAGCATACTTTCTATATGGTATTTCTGTTCCTTTCAGAAGATTTTTCACTTTGTGAGATTTTTTTTGTGTTGAGCATATTGGCTATATGATAGAGATCTTGTCTGATGATTTGAGGTGTTTTTAATTTTGAAGCTCTGCATTTGCAGGTTGTTAATAATAAGAACCAAGGATATGGGCTTCCGGCTGATATATGGAGCCTTGGGTGCACTGTGTTGGAGATGTTAACCCGTCAGCTTCCCTATCATCCTTTAGAATGTGTACGTGCGCTTATAATTGAGTACTGTTATCACAATTACCATTATGATGGTACCAAAATGGTTTTCAGATTTGGAAAACTCATGCTCTTGATTGGTTGATTTTCTTTTATTCTGCATGTAGTTTCTGTTGATTTTTCCATGTATATATATTTTATTTATTGATCCAGTTGGAATGAAATCCAGATATATACCAAGATGGATCTAAGATTTTAACTTCTGTAATATGTTCAGTTGAAAAATTGCATGACCATTGATTTCAACGTTTTAACATCTTCCTTATTGTAACACTACAGATGCAAGCATTGTTTAGGATTGGGAGGGGTTTACCACCCCCTATTCCAGATATTCTCTCAACAGAAGCACGGGATTTTGTGGCCCAATGCCTACGAGTTAACGCAAATGATCGTCCAACTGCTGCTCAGCTCCTAGAGCATCCATTTGTCAAGAGGCGACTTTCCACATCCTCAGGCTCAGCATCTCCCTATATAGGCAGGCGACATTGAAACATTGAAGGACAACGAGGTATATATCACTTCTATTTTTCAGCATTTTCCTATTGCTGTGCTTTCCTTGACAGTGGAAATAAGAGAAAGCAAAGTAGATGTGAACGCTTCCATGCTGGGGTGGGGGTGCCCCAGTTTCCACAAGGAGTTGTGCATATTTCTTTAACTCTGTAAAAATTAATGTATGATGTAACTGTGGCGATGATAAATGTGTGATATTTATGAGTTAAAGGAGGCCAATTGGTATCATTCTTGGGGCAGGATTCTCCAAGTAATTTTTACAGTCTACTTGATTGGGCCACAACTTTTTCACTTTATCTCAGATTGTCATTTTCACTCTAAACATTATTGTTTCTCTCTTGAAGACATCCTTTCCAATTATGAAGTTTGCACGACTTGCCTTCTCAAGTTATTTAATCTTTGCAGAAGCAAAGGCGGCACTCGATTCTGACGTTGGTTAATTCTTGAGCGTCTAGCTTTCTAGATGAGAAACCTGCGTTTTAATTTTCTGTTGTATTTATCAGCTGCTGTGAAAAAAAGTGTTCGGATGCTCCATGTTGTTCACTGTAGCAAGTCCTTATTAATTTGTATTTTATTTTTTTCAATGATCAAGATTCTAGGAGCAAGTTGTAGGATTTGCCGTACTAAGTGAGAACCGCGAACGACGTATTTGTATTGTTGTATATATCTTTTATTGAAAGAAATGTTAGTAGTGCTTTTTCTTTTGTTTTGTGTGTAGTCTCGGAAAGAGATTAAATAGCTCTTCTTTTGCCTCCGGCTTTTAAGTTGTCAGAGAGAAAATATATTGATAACATTTGAATCAGGAAAAAAATTTGAACCCTGATATTTGAATCAATGAGAGAAAAAGAAAATGTGAAACATAGGCTCGTTTTCATCTACATAATGTGGCGAAGAGGAAAGGTAGGTAGAATGGTCTTTGTGTTAAAATTTGAGTCCGGCTTAAAGTTAATTTGGCCTTAAACGGTTGGATGGAGTTTGTTTAGTAGTTTCTACCGTGTTTAATAACCAACCGGGGTGAAACTCCAAAAGGGTGGGTCTTGGTTGACCGATTAACCGGTTTATTGTGGGTAAAATTGTGTCAAAGTTTGAAATTTAACAAAAATACCTTTGAAAATTATTAAGTCTTTAGGTTTAATCTTACAAACACCAAAAACACCACTGTCACGTTGACATTCAGGCCAAATAGTTGTTGTTCGTCACGAAAACACCTCCATCATCACGAACTTCCTCAGCCTGGACAAAACCTATTTCACCCCTCTCCATTTGCCCGCTAATGTCAAAAGAGGTGCGTTTCAGTCGATTGATTTTTGCCTTTTCGTCAATTCCACTCAAAAACACTCCTTCATCCACATTTGACTCACTGGCACCTCTTTCTCAAAAGCCTTAACATAATGCTATCGATGCTCGTCAATTGTCGTCTATAATTCTAAGGTTTATAGTGGAAAGTTGAAAGTGATAACCCACCAGACGAAGGCTATGGGTCTCGGTTCAACCGGGTCGGTATCAAAACACTGGTTTCTACCCAATGAAAAGGGACGATAATAACTTAATGATAGAATTAAAAGTTGGGGAGTAGGGAAAATTTAAATTAGTTGGTAGATTTGTTAAGAGTGGGACATTGCATCATATCAAATTTAAAGATGATAATTTATTTTTTTATCAGAAAAAAATACTAAAACTTTTTATATCTTCAGAAAATGCTGTATCACTAATGAAATAGAACTTTCATGCCAAAAAGTTTATATATATATATTTTTTTTTTTTTTCAAAAAAGGAGATTTTTTATGGGCTGGTTTGCCGAAATGGGCTTGGTAATTTAACCGAGCCCAGCTTAAGTCACATCTCTAGCAATATACGGTCGACTCTCCAATAGGAAGAACAGCCGAATACAATACTTTTATACTCGATAATAGTATAAAAAAAAGGCATGGTGGCGTGAAAATGACAGGCATGGGCACCAGATTCAAAGTTTCAACTTCCAAGCCCAGAAGATAAAAAGGGGGCCTCTCTCTCTCTCTCTCAGTAGCTGCATACGCAAAGCAACGCAACCCAGCGTGCCCGCGAAGATCGGGTGTTTTCTTTCCCCCACTCTCCACCCCGATCCTCTCCGCTTTTCCCTCCATCAATTTCCAAACACACTTTCAAATATCCTCTCTCAATCATTTCCTCTCTCTCTCTCTTAACGAAGCTTTCGTATTTTCTTCGTATATATTCCTTTTCCAGGTATGTTTGATTGGATCTTTGACTTTGATTTGATTTCTAGTGTTTTTTGATTTCGATTCTCTCTCTCTCATTGCGCGCCGTTTTGCGGCTCTGCATTATGAGAATGAAGCTTCAGATTTTTAATATTGGCTGTTTTTTCACTTCTAGGGTTTCATTTTTGATCTCTTAATTGTTGTTCTCCATGATTTTTCGATGCTGCGAAATCATTTATGTTCCGTTGGTTAATAGTAGGATTGTGACTGTTTATGTACGATTATTTTACCATGTTAGGTTTAGTTGTATTTGGGCATTTTTTGCCTTGTTTTAGCGGGTGATATCTGGCTGTTTAGATTACAACAAAAAATGAAATTACTGTAATTTGTATGAGTATATATGTGTTTTTTTTTTTTTTTTGGTCAATTTCTTTTTGGAAATAAAATTAAATTTGATTTAGAAATTAATTTAAGATCATGCACTATTTCCGTGATTTGATATGAAACGATTTGGAAGGGTTTATTCTGAGATCCGTCGTATAATTCTCAGAAATGTATAACTTCTATGCAATATGAACTTAGATTACTAATGTCCTCAAATATAAGCCCTAAAGTTTTTTGAATAAGGGGTAGGTTCAGTGATGTTTGTGCTCTATAATTGTTGGTTGCGTCATGCGTGTTTGGTGAACGTGTGATACTGCTGTACAGGAACAGAAAGGAGCAATTTGAATTACACTTTACAATGACTACCACCCATTGCATGTTCTTTTTGGGCATTGGACCCATTGAAAAGTTTTTCGAATTATGAAATAATTCGGATTTGGCGTTGGATGAATGTTTTAACAAACAGTGACAACCCACTTTAAACTAGGCTCAGTCCCTGAGTCCCATCTGCTGAAGTAATTTTATATTCCTCAGATTTTAAAAGTTTTGAAGTTTGTAAGGAAAGCTTTCTGTAGATTTTTATTTTTTCAATTTGAGAAATTGGTTTGTGTTGAAACTTCTTTTACGTGATTAAGTCATTGGATTTGAAACGTTTTATCAATTAATAACACAAAATTTATTGATTACTGAATATATTTAGGAGGTTTATGCTTCCACTTTAAACCATAAATTTTCAAGTACTTCATTTTCTTTTTTGAACATGTTTATGGAGTCAGCCTAACCCGATCCTTATGATTATTCATACTTCTGCAGGCTTCACTTCTGTCACTTCTTACTAGGAATTATTATTATTATTATTATTATTATTATTTTTTGTTGTAGGAATCAATGTTATTATTTTTGATATATGATTTGTGATGATAGTTTTATTTCTGAAACATGCACAGGGTTTGTAGGATCAAAGTGGTGAAACTGTCACATAGTTTCCTATGGAATAATGATATTAGTATTTTATAGATTAATGATATCCAATGATATTGCTGATTTTGAGTCCCTATTGTGTGGCTGTTTATAACTGTATCTTCTGTATGAATTAGCAGTGCTTGTGGTAAAGTTTGTTTGATCCATGATATTTGTGAAAAGAACAGTTTTAGCTCATTATTAGTTAAAGTAGAAAACACAATTTGATTAGTGGATGTTTGTTATGTGATGAATTTAATACTACAATATCATTGTGCTCTCCAAGTGTACTTCGAATAATTTGCTATGCAGGTCAACCATGCTTTTGAACCAATAGCCCCTTATTTCACTGGCATTTAAGAGGTCAGGGCACCAAATTTTTTTGGGTAATTTCACAGGCAGATGCCAGCCAGTACACACAAGGGGGAGGGTTAGGGTAGATGGGTTGTAGGGTGAGGCAAGGACACCATCTGATTAACTAATATAATAATAATAAGAAATTAATTCTTTTTAACTTATTAATCAGTTGCATCTTTCTATGAGAAACCATCATCATGAGATAGGCTTGCATTCCAGTTATACTGGGCAAATAATTCTTTTAAGGTGGTTTTTTGGATGAATCACATATCTGATTCTTTTAGTGGGTGATATCTTCTATTTAACAACTGTATTTTCTTATTTTTACCATGTATGGCTGGGTGACAGAAACCTTCTAAATTATTTTATGTTTCTTGTGACTGGAAGAGGTAGTAGCACCACCACCACCACTACCACAAATTGGACTATTTGATGTAAAATCCTGTTTTATATTCCCAAATTCTAGGAAGGAAGGAAATAGTGATGTCAGCTTGCAACTTCCTGTGGATATCCCAGTAAATATGGGTCTGAATCTCTTCTATGATGGGCATGCCTGGGAGTTTGCAGCATGTGTACCACTATAAAGTTAACATATTAATCCCATACTTGTAGCTATACCCGTGCTGTTCCTTTGGTGAATTGGTAAAAGGTTTCTCCAGTTTTTGAATTCTGCATAACATTTTGGTTTAGTCTGCAATAATATGATGTTTTATTCTGATAGTTACATTAATAAGGTATGATGTGTGCAGCATGACTGTTATTTAACCAAAACTAGTATGTTCTGGCGCTCAAATTCATGGTACAGGCATAAGTATCACTCAATCTGAATGCTAGTTCAAATTCATTTTACTCACTGGATTTTATTTCAAACAGCATAGACTTACTGATGTCAAATCTAAATTTAAGACAATTATATTGTGTAAACCATATCTATTATAATGATCTAATCCTCTCTTTCTCTCTCTATCTCTGATGTTTCAGGTTAAATTTTGAATGGCGAAAGTTAACAAGGTGCGATGCAAGTCTGATTCACGACGTCATAGAGTTGCTCCATATCCATTGTCATCGTACCCTAAGAAGGCTGGTAAAGAGGGTCAAACAAAGAAAGCACATTCCAAAGCCTTGGAGAAGAAAGATTGGGAAGGTGCAACCTGCTCAGTGTGTCTTGAGTTTCCTCACAATGCTGTTCTCCTACTTTGTTCCTCTTATAACAAGGGATGTCGACCTTATATGTGCGCTACTAGCCGACGTTTTTCCAATTGTCTTGACCAATACAAGAAAGCGTATACAAAAGGGTCATCAATGGAAAGAGAGCAGCAACCAACCGGGTTGGTGGAGAATTCCAGTTTTAGTTTGGATGCTGGGCATGCCAATGAAAAGACTGAAGTTCCAGAGCTCCTATGTCCTCTGTGTCGTGGGCAAGTGAAGGGTTGGACAGTGGTTGAACCAGCTCGTAAATATCTCAACGCAAAGAAGAGAACATGCATGCAAGATAATTGTTCTTTTGTTGGAACTTATAAGGAGCTTAGGAAGCATGTCAAGGCAAAGCACCCATTGGCACAGCCCCGAGCAGTAGACCCTGTGCTTGAAGAAAAATGGAAGAAGCTTGAATGTGAGAGAGAGCGAAATGATGTGATCAGCACAATAATGTCATCAACACCTGGAGCAATGCTACTGGGAGATTATGTGATTGAGCCAGGGTATCATGGTGTTTATAGTGATTATGATTCAGATGATTCTTCGGATGATGGCTACTTTCCTATGGAGTCATTTGATCGAGGACAGAACCGAGGCCTCCACTGGCAAGGGAGATATCGCATGGATTATGACTCATTGGATGAGGATGATTTTGGGATGCATCGTGCTTTTCTTGCTGGCTCAGCAGCTCCTTCTAGACGTCTTCTTCCCAGGATACTAGTGGGACGGTCAAGGAGGCGGTGGAGGCATAGAGGAGGTAATGGAAGTCGATAATTTCTGGATGAAAATGCAAGTATAAACCAGGCTGAAGTTCTACCGCTGGGCCATGATGTTTATTAAAATAGCCAATAGACTTGAACAGATGGTCTGAAAGTAACATAACCGTGGATTTGCCCTTTAGATTAGGTGTTAATTGTTTAGGTTTAGAACTGAAGCCTTGTAGTGTAGGGGACAGTTTCCTCGTAGTCATTGCTGTATGCATACACTATCATGTCGTCATGCATAGTGGTCCTTTGAAGTTTGAACAGAAGGATAAAACAATATAAACATTCTTTCATATTTTGTGTTTTGAATTCGCTATGGAGTTTCGTTTCTCTGTATTTGATGTATGATCAATCGTTACAGCTTCAATAAAAATTAAGAAAGAAAGAATTGTTTGTCAATTGGACATGCTAATTCAAGTTGTGACTCACCTAATTTGTCTTGCGACAAGCAAATTCGCAGGCTTATACCTTATCTTGAACTACTGCAGTAGTGATGAAAACCGATTTCAAGGTAAAAAGTAAAAACTTTCCGTTCATTTATTTTTTTGTTTCCCACTCTCCTCTCGCTCCCCCTTCTCCGTCTCTCTAGAGAAAAAAAAATCTCTTCAAATCCATTCAATGATCGGCTAAATCTCGTTTCTCAAATGCACTAGTAGTTTCTTCAATGATTTGAATGGTCAGAGATAACTCTTGTTATTGTGTTTTACATGGGGAAAAGTTGGGACCATCGTGATGTGACGGCAATTGTTGCGTTGGTGATGATTCCTGATGTAAATTTGATTATTGATAATGTTTTTAAAATCTTCTTGTGTATATTTATTTCTGTTGCTGGTGATCCACGAGGTTTTGATTTTTCTATTAATTTTTTCTTTCGCTGTTGATGCTGGTGGTGGTGAAGAGAATGGACTTTTGGGGCAGGCCCGGCTCAAGGGAGAGGCAGGTGAGGCACCTGCCTAGGGCCGCCCAAAAAATAGGGGCCCAAATTTTTTATAATTTTTTAATATATTACAAAAATAAAAATGGTGTATGATTTTTTATCTAGGCCAAGAAGAAAAAAAAAAAACTAAAAAGACCCAAATTTATTATAAATTTTTTACATATATTTCCAACCAAAGTTTAATAAAATAGTAAGTTTGTACCTTTAGTTTCATATATTCCAATTTACACCCCTAAATTAACACATTAGATTTCTTTTAACAATAAAAGGATAAAATAGTCATTTACATGTCTCAAATTACTCAACCCCAATTCCATCCCAAATTTGGATATTCACATAAATTATCTCCACCCCTCTTTCGTTGCCAACCGTTTGGAGCTGATTCCTATCAATTTTCTCACCAAAATTGATTGGAATCATCACTTTATCATTTTTCCAAGTATTTTTCCAGTCTTGATAGCCCTCGATTTGACTGATTTTTTACGAATCTCATAACCCAACTCCACTGTGCACAACAACTATTTTCGACCTTTTCAGCATGTACCTGACGTTGTTGGTCTTCCTTGACACCACCATCTTCCTCCCCTCAACCCTCTCACCAAAATCCCTATCATACCTTATTCGTTTACTCCGTCAAATCGCAGGCCACCGATACCTTTTGGGTTGCGACTTCTCAAGTCTTTTCTGGCCAATCCAGGCATTGAAAATTACCTATTTCACCACCCATCACTTCTCCAACATTTGCTCTAAAAAACCCCCCACCAACCTGACCCAGTTAGCCTGCCGATCGCCGTCCACCTCTCCTACTGATTTTGCATCTCAAAAGCTAAGAAAAATAAATTTGAATTTTTTTTTAATATACGCTTATATTATTAGAAGGCCCCCAAAGTAATTCTTGCCTAGGGTCACAAATGTTCTTGAGACGGCCCTGTTTTGGGGTTTTTCTTTTTCGAAAATATATGCGGTATTATTTTGGTTTTAAAGATGACTATCCATTGTCTATTCGTAAATTTAATAAATAAAGATAAAGCTAACAAATGGATCTCATAAACTCTGATGTTGAACTAAGTTGATAACTCTATTACACTTAAAGTACAAAATGATTTTGATTAGACTTAAGAAACAATTATTCATAAAAGTAATGATCCTTCACAAGGATCGATTCGTTCCTTATCAAGAAATGATCGTTAAATTCTAAAAAATAACCGTTCATATTTAATTAAATAAATCAATTGACATGTTAATACTACATCGATTTTTGGGATAAAGTTGATAGTAAAACATTTCCAAATTTAATAACTCAATGGAGGTGTTTGATAATAGCCCCGACAAATAGACCTTGAACGACACGTTTACAAGTCAAATGTTGAACAAAGAATTTGTGGTTGCAAAGTTCACTTGGTTTATAAAGATTTTAAACGTGGGAGTGAGAAACGGATCTTTCATAGTTTTCTGTAACAAACCACAATAACTGGATCAACATTCAACAAAGACAGACCCAATATTCATGCAACTAACTCCACATTTGCATCTGAAAACACAATCAACATATCCATGGTAGGAATTTCCCCATCAACCTCTTCTCGTAAGAATCAAATCAACATGATCATCATCTCTACTGCCCTTGTAGCACTCACAACCAAAAGGTATTTCTTTCAGCAAACACTTCAGTTTCCTCTGCAAACATACATAAAACAGACAAAACAAAAAATTATATACAGCTCGAAACCGATTAAACGATCAAGAAACTCGTCAATAAATCAATGAATAATGTTAATTACACAAATGTCAGAAGTATTGGTTGTCTCGGAGTTATTTTTCTTCCTCTTATTAACATCTGTGTTCATCACTTCAGATTCCATGCGCTTATACTTCCACCGTCCTTTTCTTCCCTTGAAAATCCGTATAGACAAAACTGATCGGAGTCTTGCTGATGTAATAGACCATTTCCACTTCTGTAAAATGCAAAATTTTCCAATCAGTTCACGTAAATTTTGCTACATGAAACGCAAAGACAATAAATTAACTTACGTTAGTCTTGCATCTGGAAGACCTTCTGGACCAATGCACCTTCTGGGAGGGATCTGAAACTCTCAAATCATTTGCATAGGCTAAGAGCTCCGCCCTGCGATCATAACCACATTTCCTTATTGTTTGAGCCCTCTTATGGAAAGGGTTTGGCTTCAATTTTCTATATTTTGATTGAGTGGTGGATGATTCGACATAGTAAGTGATGATAACTGCATTTCTGCTGGGCCTCTCTCTCGCAATCTTGTTATTTTGATCTGGAAAACTCATGAATCCGAGAGACTAAAACGCCAACTTTGTGAATGAAGTGGAGACTGGAGAGCTTCCCTTCAATGAGGATGTTGTGTTTCCTTTCGTCTCTTTATTAATTCAAGAAGAATTTTGCTGTTAAAAGGCTTTGTGGTGCAGCTGGAGTTCATACATGCGAAGCTTGTAATGATCTTGTCTACATAATGACACCAGAAGCAACAAGTTACAACTCCCTGAGCCCATTTTATACTTCTCAGATGTGACATCTCTTACTTCTTGTTGGGCTTAAAGCCCAGTAGTAGACCAACCCATCTTGATTCTTGAGCTAATTGTCCATTTTATTGGGCTTAACCGGCCCAATAAAAGTTCATGAAAAATGGAAGTCATATAATAGGATGGACTTAACCTTCTCCCAATTTATCCGGGTTTACGTTTCCACAGGAGAATCAGAAGTTAAAATGTAATTTTGAATGGTAACTCAGTAAAGATTTATTGATTATTCAAAAGTTTAGGTTATAACTTATAATTCTTGTATTTCTAATATTCCAAAAGTATATTTGATGAAAACTCAATACTAAAAAGTATCTTTAAACATGTTAAATATTAAAAAAAAAAAAAAAAAAAAAAACCAAGAAAGCACTTTGGGGGCGTTTATTTTAGTACTTTTGAAAAAGTAAGAGTTTAGTGGTTATTACGAGGTATGATTTAAAAATTACAAAAACACCTCATAGGTTTGTTAATTTACTAAACACCCCTATAATAAAACATTAAAAATTAATAAAAACACCCCCACCCATCCATTAAATATCGGCAACTGGCTACCACCGCGGGAGGGTGGCCGGAGTTGCCGTATCAGAGCAAGACCAGTTGGATCTGGCCGTTCGTACATCAATATGATTTTTTCCAAGCAGATTCATCGTGGATCTAGCCATAAAATGCCAGATCTACGGCTAGATCTGGCCACGTTTAGTCGTCAATGACTAGCTACGGTGGATCTAGCCAAAAAAGGCTAAATCGGAGCACTACCGGCCAGATCCAGCCGGTAATGCGCTAGTATACCAGATTTCAGCCACCTTCCGACGGTGGTAGTTGGAATCTGGCAAATGTGGGTGGGTGGGGGTGTTTTTATCAATTTCTAAACTTTTTTTAAGTGTTTAGTTAAATTAACAAACTTAGAGGGTTTAAATAATTGAATAAAATATAATAATATTTTCAGATTAGGAAAACAAATGTGTATTTTGGAAATGATGGGAATAGGATAGGGCCAAAATAAGGAAACAAACGCACCCGAATTCGTTTTTTACTTAATATAATTTTCTATTTGAATTTTTTTCTTATTAATTAAAAAAAGTTTAAATTTTCTACCAAATGTCATCTTATCTATGCTGTCAAATATTTTTATTGCCATTAATTTTATCATAAAAACTTTACAAGAAAATGAATTTTTTTTACTTCTTTGTTGTACTCTGAATGCTAAAATATTATAAATTGTATACAAATCCATCACACACACAATATCAATATCAATATATATATATTGTGTGTTTGTGTTAAAAGAACTTACGTTATTTTCTCAATTTCGTGATATATTATTATTTTGTTTTGTGTCCAAAATAAACTAAAACCTAAGGTACCTCGAATTCAAATCCTAAGTCGCTTTGTTGAAGATAAGTGTAACATATTGGATAATATTTATTTATTTAAACATCGTTACTCTTGTTCGAACCCAATCAACTATGTATACTATTAGGATCCTACATTGGGATCTCACATCCACCAAGTATGATACTTAAGTCTAGGGGTTCTCCCTTCTGTCATGCCGATCTTTTGGGTTGGACTCTTTCTTAGGTTTAAGTTATAACATTGGTGTTCTTGTTGAGAGTTGAGCTGTGGAAAGGGCTATCCATATATTAGATTAAGGTATAGTGTCCTTTCCTTAGGAGGGGGTGCTACATCGAATAACTGATAAGTGAGTAAAGTGAAGCCATCCAAAGAGAGAAAGTGTTACTGTCAGGTTAGTATTGATAAAGTGAAAGCCGTTGTGAACATTGGCTCTTGAAGGGGGTGCAATGCTACAATCCCACATTGAGATCTCACACTCACCAAGTGTAGTATATTACTTAAGCCTAGTCGCTCTCCTTTCTATCAAGCCGGTCTTTTGGGTAATGGGCTCTCCCTTAGGCTTGAATTTTAACATATACACACTTGTAATATAGTGCAATCAAGTTGCTAATATCTAATTGTATTTTAATTATAAATCCGGATATTATATAGTAAAACATAGCAATTTGTTTGTGAGTTGTGACTATTTTTATTTTTGATTAATTACCATTTGCATAATATATTCATTAAAATAGAACCCAACTCCAAGTGTAATTATACCCTTTTGACCCAAAAGTGATAATAACACTTAAAACTGTTTTTACTTAAAAAACAATTGTTATAAAGTTAAGTGGCTTTGATGATATATTAAATTTGCTCCATTCACCTCAGTCCAAAAGGCATTGCTGTGACATGTCACGAATACACATCAATAGTTACAATGAGGAATTTTCGTTTAATCCAGATTCCATTCCCTCTTGAGCAAGTTAATAGAGAATATATTTACATAAATATATAAATAAATGTATCAAAGTGATTTTAAAAACAAAAAATGGTACTGGGCATCACGTAAATTGAAGTAGTTTCATTGCACATTTAAAAGTAGAATGGACATAACATGAATTGTTAGGCGGCAGCATATCATTCAATAAGGAGCATGACTGTACCTAGAATCATAATATTAATGGAATTCTTTGACCAAAACAATATCTTTATGAATTTGTGAAATCCAACAGCTAATAAAACCTAGTTCTATGGGCTTTTGATGATGTAAGAAAACAAAAATCATCAGAATCTTTGACCAATATCTCCTGAAACGATTCCTGAACCCAAAAGGTGTAGGTATCTTTATACGCTTTCAATAGTATTTTGGGTTGTAGTTACAATAAAGGAGAAATGCAATTCGATTCAATGACTGACACCCAGATTTGCTTTAGCAAATATAAATCTTCTAATTTGACAAAGAATGAAACGCCACATGGGGAAACTGGGTTCCCAGTGAGCCTCAAATTTTACGCCACAAAAGCTCGGTATGCGTTGGTTTAATATTTTTATCCCTATTCTGGATCCTATTTTTCAAATCGCGTTTGGTACATATTCTCAAAATATTACCCTATTTTTTTTAATTACATTTTAACCCATAGGTTATTATTTCACTAAATACCCCCTGAAAAAAAATTTTAAATTAACAAACACACCCCATCAACCCAACTTGTCAGATTCCGGCAACCACCGTCGGTGATAGCCTGATTGTACAACGGCCAAACTTCCGACCAAAATGGCCGAGTTCACCGCTGTGGCCTTTTCCGGCCAGATCCACAACATCTGGCCGGAAAGCCAATCTGGCCGTCAGCGACGGCCAAAGAAATGGCCGTCGTTGCCGGTCAACGCACGCCAAATCTTGGCCGTCGTCGATCGAAACGACGGCCACATCTTTGGCCGTCGCTGACGGCCAAAGATGGCCGTCGTTTGGCCTTTTCCCGGCCGTTCGACGGCCAAAACAAACCATAGATCTGGCCTTTTCCGGCCAGATCTACCATGGATCTAGCCGGAAAAGGCCATAACGATGTGTTACGGCACAGATCCGACAAGTCTGTGCCGTAACGAAATTTTCCGGTCAGATTCCGGCGGTGGTGGCCGGAATCTGACACTGCAGTGGTGGGGGTGTTTTTGTCATTTTACATGTTAGGGTCTTTAGTTAAATTAGTAAACCTAAGGGCTTTTTTATAAATTTTTAAAATTTACCTCGTAATACTCCCATATCCAATAACCCAATACTACCCTTAAAATCCTATCCAAAATACTAAACCAAACGCACCCTCGGTTGTTCTGTCTACTCCAAAGTTCTTATAACCAGCAAAACTAAAGAAACCAGGAAGTACTATAATGTATAATCCCCAACAAACAAATTTATTTGGCCAAACTTTATCCTTGATTTTCTATTAATTTACATACCCTTTTTAGTACAATCACATCACAACATTGTGAGGAGCAGAGTTGTGCTAGCTCCAATTGTGTTTATTACGATAAATAAAATAAAAAGCCTGCAAAAGTTGCCCCTCAATCTGTGGACGTTATACAAGTTTGACAAAACCATTTTTTGTCTGTGATGGAATACAGAGAGAAAGAGAGAGAAATGAACCATCCAAGAAAGAAACCAAAGTGGCTCAAAGCTTCACCAAAAGGCCAAGGACAACGGGTTTGTTTACCCCCTTCAGTTTTCTATTAGCCGCCCCCAGTTGTGACTTTGTGAATTGGGTGACCCTTTCCATTTGTGTGTGTTTAACTTAACTCTATTATTTTTCCTTTTGTCTGCTGCCTGACCAGACCAAGCCACTTCTGAATCGCCCCATGAATTCTTTTTTATTGGCTGTTGGAGCCTCCCATGCGCCACTTCTCAGTTCTCACCTTTCAATATTTGCCCCTCTTCTTTTCCTTGACCTTGCCTTCACCCAATTAACAACTCTTCTGCTTTTACTTTTAACCTACGTTTTCTCTCTTTTTTATTTTTTAAGAGAATCTTCTTCTGTATTTTATTTAATCTACTTGTCCCCACATCCACATGCATTGCTGTATTAACCTGTTGAATCTGTGTGTGTGTATGTAGCGGACCGCTTGAATTATTTCCTTTAATGGTATCTTCATGTAATCAACTTGAATACTTGTTTCATTTTCTTATTGATTATGAAAATAAAAAAAACATTAAATGTCAATGTTAATCTATTTTGTTATGTTCGTTTCAACAAATTTCTTTATGAATAATATATATTATGACATATCAAACAATCTAAATTATTACTGAACATAGATTTTCAAATTAAACTAAATAGCTAATTTATTTTGATTTAAAAACTAAAATGCAAGGTAATTGACAGTGAAATCCGCTAATAGCTTATTCAGCCTATCTCATTACTTAAATCACTAATCTCTAAAACAGGGTGATAGACCAAATAATCCCACTTAGATGGTTTTTATGATGTAATCTAATAATCTTTTGTTGGTATAATTATTTGAGGAATGACGAGTATCAATTTGTTGCTTCTACGGAGAGGAAATTGCATGATGCACCACCGTTTCATGTCCGTACAAAACCAATTCAATGCATACGTAAATAGATTTCCATCAGATTTTATGGGCTAATTAACTAATTCGTGTATTACTAAAACAATTTTCATTATCAACTTGACTTGATTTGTGAATCTCTACTTTAAACCCTAATCTTATTTAAAAGAGAAAAAAAAATATATGTATATATCTGTCTTCATATATTTAATTATTTATGTGATTAGCTGGGGCATTAAGTGTTACCAAACACATGTACACATATTACGTTTCTCTTTCAAGCATTTATAAATTCTTCAAACTTAATACTTTGGTTCAACATCTAACATTAAGCTTTTAAATGCTGGGATATACTTTAGGTCTATTACTGTCTGAGTTTTCAATAACGAGAAAGCTAGTTACTATTATTAATTAGTATTTTATTTGGTGAAAGGCCATTACTAAAATTGCTAAATTGACCTGTTTGTGGGATGTGTATGTAGCAATCAGAAGAAAGAAACTAAAATGGGAGAGCAGTGTGAGAAGAAGACCACAAAGTAAATAGCTACAGTAAAAGGCAAATACTAAAGCAATACCATGTCCTCCTAAAGCATGTTAATTAACCACATATGGGGGAAGTATTAATTTGGACAGGGTTTATCTGAGATTAGTAATTAATTAAAAAAATATCCATACTCACCAACCCTGAGACCCACATCATCAAAAGTTTTCCATGCATGCACCAACTCAACACTTTCCCAACCAGCAAATTTAGAAAAGACATAAGCTTATCATAATTTCGACAAAAGTTTTACCTTCATGAAAACTAATTTCATAACAATTAATTTAGTCATTTTACACTTTTTTTTTTTTTTTTTTTTAAACTTTTGTGAAATCATATCTGAAAATTATTATAAGTTAATTTTTAAGAATTATTTTCAAATCATATCTCAAGTCCACATTCATATGAGTTTTATCTCTTCTTATTCTTTATTTGCTTGTGAAGACATTAATCCCAATTTTCTTTCCTTTTTAAAAATTCTTTATAAAACCAATAATATAAAGTAACTTTACATAGTTTAATCCTTCATTTTTCTTTCAATTCAAGTCTAACCAAGTTTGTTTTTGGAAATATTTGAATAAATTGGTCCCCCTAATATAAGTCTTGCCTCTTTCCTTATGGCTGAACACTCACTAATCCTCATCTAACTTCATTGACAATTACATTTGTTTGATAATACAAAATTGAGCATATACCCAAATTTACTTATACCATACATAATTATAAGAAGAAAAAAAAAGGGGAAAATTATATATATATAAGTGGTAGATATTTATCTAGTCACACTGTACGAAAAAATATATATAAGATATGTTATTTCATAAATAGAAAATATAAGAGGTAGATATCATATGTATCAAAGTTATAACAATAAATTCGTGGCTCTAGTCAAGACCGACGCCTCCCAACCCATGTCCACAACTCCAGCCACACGGCTCCACCCAGCCGATTAAGCCTTTCTCTTTCTTAAAAAATAATGACGTCACTAATATAATCAAGTGAGACCTCCCTGTACGTTTGACACGTTTCTACTTCCGCGAGGCCTATATAAAGTCACCATCCCACCCCCCTCCATTCACTCAGCGAATGAAAAACGCAAAAGAGTTATAAATAGAGAAAGTGAGTGAGAAATTTAGAGTAATCACCTCTAATGGCGGCCTCAGTCGACAACCGCCAGTTCAACCACCTTGAGTCCACCTTAAACGGCTTCGTTCATCCTTATAAATCAGGTCCAAATCACCGGCCTGACTCTCCCGTCCGTTCCCACAATACTTTCAGTACTCGCAAAAAACAATTCTTCACTGAAGAAGACGACTCCTCCAGTGAAGACGAAAATGAGACTGGTTACAGAGATATGATACGTAAAGGCAACAGCGAACTTGAACCGTCGATCCTGGACTCTAGAGATGAAGGAACGGCTGATAACTGGATCGAGCGCAACTCGTCCATGGTCCGTCTCACAGGGAAGCATCCCTTCAACTCCGAGCCACCACTAAACAGGCTCATGCACCACGGTTTCATAACCCCGATTCCACTTCATTACGTTCGCAACCATGGAACCGTGCCAAAGGCAACGTGGGATGACTGGACGGTCGAGATAACTGGTTTGGTGAAACGACCGTCCCGGTTCACTATGGAACAGTTGGTGAACGAGTTTTCGAGTCGTGAGTTTCCAGTGACACTTGTGTGTGCTGGCAACAGACGCAAAGAACAAAACATGGTCAAACAAACGATTGGCTTTAACTGGGGCGCAGCAGGAATCTCCACTTCGGTGTGGCGCGGTGTACCATTACGTGATGTGCTGAAACGATGCGGGATCTTCAGCCGAAAACGTGGGGCCTTGAATGTTTGTTTTGAAGGTGCTGAGGATTTGCCAGGTGGCGGAGGGTCCAAGTACGGGACCAGCATTAAGAAGGAGTTTGCGATGGATCCTTCACGGGATATCATATTAGCGTACATGCAAAATGGTGAGCGTTTATCGCCGGATCATGGGTTCCCGGTGAGGATGATTATTCCAGGATTTATCGGTGGACGTATGGTGAAGTGGTTAAAGAGGATTGTTGTAACCACCCGAGAGTCGGATAATTATTATCATTACAAAGACAACAGAGTACTTCCTTCCCACGTTGATGCTGAACTTGCCAATGCTGAAGGTACACTACACCACGTGCGTTCTGTTAATATTTGTTGCTTATTTGCATTTCTAGTGGCTATCCCAGGGATCTATACTTTTCTACCTTTGTTTTCTTTATGTTAGGGATTTGGACCCACAATAGTTTTTCCTTTTCCTTTTTTTTTTAGTTTTTAACGAAAAAATAAATCAATTGTGTATGTACAGCTTGGTGGTATAAGCCGGAACACGTAATCAATGAGCTAAACATAAACTCAGTGATAACGACACCGTGCCACGAAGAGATCTTGCCAATTAACTCGTGGACTACTCAGAGGCCATACACTTTGAGGGGTTACGCATATTCCGGTGAGCTCTGCAGATCTTATTTTAATAGTTAAACGGAATCTTTTGTTTTTTTTTTATTAGATTAAGTTACTTTCTAGCAGTAGATGCTGGGATTAGGTGCCTGCATCCTCATGAAAGTGGACAAATTTGAGCTAGATCAAATCATAAATAAATCTGATTATCAAATTACCATTTTGGTAATAAGATAGAGAAAAACTACTGGATGTCAATATCAATCTTAATTTTAACCATCAAGTGGTAAATGTATTATTATTGGTTTTCAATTAGATGCCAAATATGTGCGAGTGCAAGCCAACGGGATGCCACGTTATTGGGCTAATTTTACATCACTAGATTTAGACGAATTGTGTTTGTAGTTGCAAGTTGCGAATTTGCTACCAATTCAAATAAAGCATTTCTTCTTGTGAAAGGAGTCTTTGAAATGAAAGTAATCTTCTTGTTTTACGTGAAACAGGTGGCGGCAAGAAAGTGACACGTGTGGAGGTTACAATGGACGGTGGTGAAACGTGGCACGTGTGCACTTTGGACCACCCTGAGAAGCCCAACAAATATGGCAAGTACTGGTGCTGGTGCTTTTGGTCCCTAGAGGTGGAGGTTCTGGACCTTCTCGGAGCCAAGGAGATTTCGGTTCGAGCCTGGGACGAGACCCACAACACCCAGCCCGAGAAACTCATTTGGAATGTCATGGTACGTCACATCCTCCATTTACACTCTTACACGTGCCAATACATTGCTGTTTACATTATTTATCGCGGTCATCCTTCAGTTTGTACCAATGGGTCTGGTCAAATTTAAATTGATACATGCCCACTTCTAGCATTCTCCTACCACCGTTTCCAATTAGATTATGCGACGTAGGATATAATTGTTCTGATGGGTTGTCATCCTTCATCATTTGGTTTGATTTTTATTCCACAGCCGCGCAATTGTGGTGTAATGAGCGTCTCAATTAAGCTAGCTAGCATGGTTGGGTGAAATTGTTAAAAAAATATTCTTAGTACAACTGAATATTCCTGTCAAAAGTCAATACAAATAGGCGTATGAAGTCAATAAGCTTATTATTCTTGTACCGTGACCCCTTCATCCACCAAACTCGATTGATATTTATAGGTTTATGTAGACATCAGCCGACTCATAAAACGCGAAGTCAATAAATTATCTTATTACAGCTGAATATTCCTGTCAAAATTGTTAAATAAGTATGATTAATTAGCAATTAATTTGTGCATAACAACTTGAACAGGGAATGATGAACAACTGCTGGTTCCGTGTGAAGCCAAATGTGTGCAAGCCCCACAAGGGAGAAATCGGAATTGTTTTTGAGCATCCAACGCAACCCGGAAACCAGTCCGGCGGATGGATGGCAAAGGAAAGGCACCTGGAGAAATCCTCCGATGCCAACCCAACTTTGAAAAAGAGTGTCTCATCGCCATTTATGAATACCTCTTCAAAAACTTTCTCCATGTCCGAGGTCAAAAAGCATAACTCGGCTGATTCCGCTTGGATCATTGTTCATGGCCACATCTATGATTGTACTCGTTTCCTTAAGGATCACCCTGGTGGCACTGATAGTATCTTGATCAATGCCGGAACTGATTGCACGGAAGAGTTTGATGCAATTCATTCTGATAAAGCAAAGAAAATGCTTGAAGATTATCGTATTGGCGAGTTGATAACCACTGGTTACACTTCTGATTCCTCTGCCTCATCCCCAAATAACTCTGTGCATGACGCATCTAATGCGGTCACCCATTTAGCACCCATCAAAGAGGTTGCGCCTACAAGAAGTGTGGCTCTTGTTCCACGTGAAAAAATCCCATGCAAGCTCGTTGAAAAGATTTCTATATCTCACGATGTGCGTCTCTTCAGATTTGCATTACCATCTGAAGATCAGGTTTTGGGATTACCAGTGGGTAAACACATATTCATATGTGCAACCATTGATGATAAGTTGTGTATGCGAGCTTACACACCAACGACCTCCGTTGATGAAGTGGGGCACTTTGATCTTGTGGTCAAGATATATTTCAAGGGCGTGCACCCAAGATTCCCTAATGGGGGACTCATGTCACAGCACTTGGATTCTTTGCCTTTGGGGTCTGTGTTAGACGTGAAGGGTCCATTGGGTCACATTGAATACACTGGTCGTGGTAATTTCTTGGTTCATGGCAAGCCAAAATTCGCTAAGAAGCTGGCTATGTTAGCCGGTGGGACTGGAATTACACCAATTTATCAAGTGGTACAGGCCATTTTGAAGGATCCCGAAGATGAAACAGAGATGTATGTGGTATATGCCAACAGAACTGAAGATGATATTCTACTGAAAGAAGAACTTGACGAGTGGGCTAAGAAGTATGACCGATTCAAGGTGTGGTACGTTGTACAAGAATCAATCAGAGAAGGATGGCAATATAGTGTTGGATTCATCACTGAGGACATTATGAGGGAGCACGTCCCGGAAGGATCAGACGATGTGCTAGCTTTGGCTTGTGGTCCGCCTCCCATGATTCAGTTCGCCGTGCAGCCCAATTTGGAGAAAATGAATTACGATATCAAGAATTCTTTGTTGGTGTTTTAAATGATCGGAGCAGAGAGATGAGGTTGTATATACTAATTATTATTTCTTTTGAATTTGTCCGTATGTCTCTGGTGTTAATTAGTTTATTCTTTTTTTCCTTATAAAGAAAAAAAGAAAAAAAAAATTGTTTAGTCTTTCTTTTTTGGTACAAGTATGTGTTGCATAGCCGGAGACAATTTACTAGAAAACGTTAAAAGTTTTCAAATGAAGTGGGCAGAACTTATTGTATATATAGTATTTAATAAAATTTCTTCACTTTCGTAATTCAGAAAAATTCTGATCGCTTGTAATTTTGCAGTATGAAGCATTTTTTATCTACATAATAAATAAAAGAAAATACAATAAGTGAAGGGAAGGTTTTATAACAAGAAGACAAAGCTTGGGTGGATTCTGTTGGTGAATTATCGACATTTATCGTGGCTTTTCCACTTTGAGAGGATTAGACAGTGACACAGTGTACGCAATCCACTTGCAAGTTGTCATATTATTCAGAGTTCACAAGGGCTTTGTATGGTGGCTGCCGGCTGGCAGAGATAATACTGATAATCTGCAACAAAAACGACAAGACGTTTACTGAAGCTTCCTTGACTACTTCTCCAACACATTATAACCTCAATAAAATTTAATGATAAAGATATGAGGTAACATTTAAATATACCACATTAGTCAATAATAAATAGTGAACATAGATCTTGTAAACAGTAAGTTATACGAATAATTGGAGGATTATATTAACAAAAGTAAATTAAAATGAAACGACGTTTACGATTTTTTTTTTTTTTTTTTGGGTTACGCGTTTAGTTCTTTTTTTTTTTTTCAAGGAATAAGACCCACAGGAATGATCGATATATTTAAAAGAATTAGAAAACAGCTCCACAGTCCACACCCAACTTTTTATATTATTAATGGGTGATTTTGACAGTCTCAAAACATTGGTTATTGAAAGCGTAAGTGTATAGTGCTTAATCCAAGTTTAAAGATTTTTCTGCTGATAATGATTAATAATTATGTTCTACTAGTTAATTTGATATTTTTAAGAGACAATATTTTAAATGGCGGTAGCCGATAGTATCTTATAAAATTAAACTCATGACCTTCTTCATGAAAAAAGTAGTAAAATAAATATCGACTGTAAAACTAGATTTACACAGAGGAATTAATTCTATGATTCTTGATTCTGGTGGCATTTTTGGTTGAAAAAATAAGAAGAGGAAGGAGAATTCATGAGATAGGATAATTAATCTGACGAGTGACATGAACGGAGTTGCAGGTTAAATGGCGATAGTAATATTGTATGAATGGGGTATCCACTTGATCACTTGCACTTCTTAAAGCCAGTTGTTTCCTTTATCTACAACATTATCTCAGCAAATTCACGAAATTTCTCATTGGGTAGAAGGACATCTAATTTTCAGAAGAAAAATAAAATAAAAATCGTGCATGCATGGCTACAAATTAACGTTTACTAGACCCAAAACACAAGCCAATTAGCGCATCAAGTGGATAGGTAATACCTGATAAAGTGGGGACCCAATGAAAAGGATATTTGGCTGCCGCAGCGTCCGAGAGCCACACGCCAACGCCAGTTGCGTTGGAGCCAAACCAAACCCACTTTGGGCCCGCTGGTTCCCATAACCTGTTTGATCCCCGAAGGGTCATCTAAACTAGCTTTCGCGCTCAACTGAAGTTGACCCCTTCTATTAATATTCATTGTCTTTATTCAATTCACTACCACTATTGTCTCACGTAATTGTTTAATCGTTTATCACGGAATCTGGCGGACGAATCATCTCATAAAACATCTCAACTTGTCTCCCGGCCCCTTGGAGTTGAATGATCAACTTGTCCACTTATTCCCATTAAACAACTCAATAAACTTTTAGCCATCAAACGACAGGATGCCATTGCAATTATGTTGAATCAATTGTTAATCCTTTAGGTATCAACAAATAATTTGACCGTTGACTGAATTTAATGGGCATAATTCATCCAGGTTTCGGACTAATGAAATGTTCTTATTATATTCCTTGTTTTTACCATTGAGTACATAAATTGGAAACAGGTTTCCAAATGACTGACTAACACATCTTCACATTTTATATAAATAAAAAATATCTTTATTAATTTCTAAATATTGTATAAAGAATAAATTTTTTATTCAAATCCATTGGAATCTTTAAATTTATTAAGATACTCTTTATTTTCAAGAAAGAAACTTAATGGAAGAGATAATTAATAAATAAAATGCATAAAAACTTGAAGTTTATTAATTTAAATTAGGATAAAGAGTGAAATTTGACTCTCTAGATGTGGAGAGTCAAACTTACTCTTTAATTTATATTTAAAGGATAAAGAGTTTGTTGGACTTTTATTTTTATGAATATATTCTTTATAATAAAAAGTTTGAGTCATATAAAGAGTTATTTGGAGATGCTCTAACTAAAGTTTCAACTCATCTCTGTTTCTACTATTTTCTCTTTTCTCATAATTCTCCTATTTGATTAACCTTCTCTTTGGCTTCGATAATTATCTGATCAATTAAAGATTCGATAATTTTTTTCCTCTTCTATATATATATGTTGATACAGAAATCTGCACCAATTAGAGTGATTTGATCAACTTTGGTAGGATCGAAACTGATGTGTGCATGATTACGGAATCAGCAATGAAGGAATAATGAATGTAAAGAAGAAGATGACACCGAGATTTTTAAAGTGGTTCGACAAGAAAAACTCTTAAGCCTATGTTCATTGTTCTTTGTATTTGTTGTGAGTGCTTACAGTCTAAGTTCTATAAGAATTTTCTAACCCTTTTTTTTTCATGATTTGAGGGGGTTTATATGCAAAGTTTGTACAAGAAGCAAGAGCAAAATTAAAGGGATTGCAATTAAATTGAAATGTAATTACAATATTCTCGCGATTGGACGCTGTGATTGTGCAAGGATTGCTATCAATTTGATCATTCCCGTAATATTTGGGATCTGAAATTATCTGGGAATTGATTGAATGATCATTTAGATTATTCGCGACTAGCTTGTGTTGGGTCGAGCTATATCTCGACGAGCTTATGCTAGGTCGAACAACCGGTAGAGTCAGATTGATTTTGGGTCGAGCTAATACCTCGCAACTCCCCGAGCTTGGTGAAAAAATCACATACAACATCTGCCCCCTTGTGTTTGATGCTCGTTTCGAGCTTCGAAGACTATTACTTGATTTGATACCGAGGTCGGCGTTGTCAGTAGGCCATCAGATGCAGACTCAGTCGAGCTTCAAGGGTCTACCTCATGCCCGGTCGACATACTTCACACTTAGATCTTTTATCTTCTGTGATACCTGATAAACTCAGAATATGAAAAGTTAGGACAATTATGTAAATTCTATGTGGCCATGTCACATTAAATGCAATAGCCTTTGGCAGTCACGTTTCGCCATGCATGGCGACTACAATTGTCCACGCATGTAGTCGAGGCGACATGCGATGGCGGTTATGATTATAGTAGTTTGACGATTCGTTGTCCCTCGCAGATGGATGACACATGGCCACGTCCAAGGGCTAGGATTGCTCGATGAATGAAGGGTCGAGATTTACTATAGATTGACGGCTATGATCGAAACCTCGCCCTTTTGTCTCCCATGCAAGCCACTATAAAAGCGAGCGGAGTCGTCAGAAACTTAACCTACAAAAATTCTTTAACGTCTTTCGCTTATTTCATTGTTGCTGCATTGTCGTCATGGTGTTCTTTCCGGCGAGTTCTTCCCAGTCTCTTATTTTGGTAAGACTTCCTTCCTTCTTGTTAATTGTTTTCTTGATTTTCATGGCTAAGGGTGACCATTATCGTGGCACATTGAGCCTTTTAGGACTTCACTAGGGGTTTTTAAGTGCTTCTCCAGTGGCCTTGGGTTTTAGAAGGGTTTGTCGCAGTGGCTGTCAAAACCCTAGGTAGGCCGCGTGCGCTCGTCTTGTGGCATGAGCTATCTTGGGTGCTTGAACTGAAAGCAAGTGTGGATTGATTGCTAAGTTTTTCGAGCTCTAACACATGTTCGCTTCTGTTTCAAGTACCTAGGAGCAAGCTATAATTATGTATTCTTCTAATAGTCAAACGATTAATCACATGTTTGACTTACTCGCGGGCTAACAGTCTTTGGGGGTATAATCCCCAAGGTCTCCAAGGAAATCGTTGCGCAGAGCTCGAACTTCCAGTGTGTGCGAAGGTTGCTTTCAAGCTTTATGTTTAAACTAACTGAGTTGCTTTGCTTTGAAGTTAATGTCGAACAAAACTATTTCCCTGCTGCAAGCTTGGAGAGGCTCCAACGACTCAGTGACCTTCTTGACAGACAACATAACGTCAATGAGATCATCACGCTTCCTCACCTGAGGGCATAAGACTTCTGTCGGGACGACGCCAAGTTTCTCACCATTCTTGAAAAATGTCAAGTTATTATTTGCTCGCGCTTATTTGTCCCACGCAGATAGGTCGCTCACCGTTTGTTTCTTTTTTTTTTTTGGTAGAAATGTGAGCTAAGAAGCCAAAAGGCCTTAAGAAGAAGGCGGTAGCTTTGGCAGTTGCCAATAAGACATCGGCTGCTTTGGCGACGAAGCAACCCGTTGATATTGCATGTGTGAAAAGTAGAGGGGGCGAGCTTGGGGAAGGCCCAAGCACGAAGAAGCTTGCAACTACCATGAAGGCAGTTGGTGGGAAAAATACCCCTAAGCCCCAAAAGGGGCTAATAAAGAAAACACCCAAGCTGATTGGAGGCTTGAGGAAACAGAAGGCATCCGAACAGCACGATGGCTTGGGTAAGAAGAAATCGATCGAGCCTCTGGGGGTCTCGGGTAAGCAAAAAGTGGCCGAGTAACAGGTTGACTTGGGCAAGGAGGTTGCCGTGCAGGTTGGCAACCTAAAGAAATCAGCGACCAAGGATTCGGCCAAGAAGGAGTCCGCTCCTACGGGCGAGGCTGCTATTGCTAGGGGAAGTAAGTCTGGCTCGTCTTGGCCGGGAAGCAAAAAGATAGATGAGGCGACCCAGGCTGCGGTCGATGCTTTGATCGATCAACTTCCCAACCACATCAGCATTGGGGCCGCAGCGGCCAGAGATGGCATCACCTGCGAACATTCGGGGGTGTCAGGGATTCATGTCCCACCGAGATGTTGGCAGGAGTGTATAGCTATACGGCTAAGGTACTAGTAGTCTGCCTTCTTTGCATTTTATGTACGTTTTCGATATTTCTTGCTAACTCTCCCTTGTTAATTTAGGTTGTCATGA